GCACTTGATGTGCGCAAACACAGTGTAGTTTTCTTCAATGTACAGTCAAACAAGGCTGCATCGAACTTACAGTTGTCTCGAAGTATAAATTTGATCCCTCCATATTCCATATTCATGATTTTTCAGTTGTATCGAACCTTTGATAACTCGAAATATTTACGTAGGTCCCGTCTACTTCGACACAACGGTGTTTGGTTGGGCTGTCATTTCAGTGTTGATGATGTTAACCTTTTAATATCAGACTTGCGCTATTGTTTTAACGCTTGTTATTACATTATTACAAGAGCTTCTTGTTTTCCTAATATTTACTTTTGGAACATTCGAAGTGGGGAGGGGATCAAACTACCCTCCTTCACTTGTATAGATCATTGCTGCGATCTCAACTTGATTATGGCTCCATCGTGTATGGTGGAGCCTGCAAAAGCAATCTAAAACTACTTGATTCAGTCCACCACCAAGGTCTGAGACTTTGTCTTTGGTCTTTTAGAACTTCTCCTGTTGACAGTCTCTATGTTGAGGCTGATGAGCCATCCCTTTACCAACGTCGTATCAACTCATCATTACAGTATATAACCAAACTCTATTCTAATGAGTCTAATATTGCATTTAACTGGGTTTTCAATCCTCTTTATGAGGATTTATACAACAAAAAGTCTTCTCTTGTTCCGCCTCTTGGGATAAGAATTAAACCATTCATTTCTGCAGCCGGCATTGAGCTGAAAAATATATGTCCTTCCCGTCTTCTTTCTTCTCCTCATTGGCAACTGGTGAGGCCTGAAGTTGACCTAACTCTGACAAAGTTAAAGAAAGCAGAAACTAATGAATTACAATATAAACAAGAATATAATCAATTAAAAAATAAATATAATGCATACAAATCCTTATTTATAGATGGGTCCAAGGATGGTGGCGCGGTGGCATGTGCCACTGTCACTGGATCCAGAGCAATATCTTCTCGACTACCAAATAACAGCACTATTTTCACAGCAGAAGCTAACGCCATATTAACAGCTCTTAAATATATTAATAAACACCGTAAATATAAACAATACATAATCTTTTCCGATTCTCTTTCGTGTCTTCAGGCTAGTAAAATTCTTTCTTGTAAACATCCACTTTTATTCGAAAGTATTGAATTGTATAATGAGCTTGCTACTGGCCAATGCGACATCGTCTTTTGTTGGTTACCCAGCCATGTTGACTTTTCTGGGAACACAATGGCTGATCTTGCTGCTAAGGCAGCACTCAACAAATCCGTGACACCACTTCTGATCCCATACTCTGATTACAAAGCTAGCGTTAGAATCTACATCCGTGATCTGATGCAAAAGAAGTGGGACACCCAAGTAGGTATTAACAAACTACATGAAATAAAACCTTATATTGGTTACACTCACTTGGGTTGTCAGTCCAGATTTGAGGAGGTCATTATGCGACGATGTCGTATAGGCCATACAAGGTATACTCATGTGTACCTCTTAAAAGGTGAGGATCCTCCGTTTTGTATCCCTTGTGATGAAAGAATCACGGTCAAGCATGTCCTGCTTGACAGTTTTGAGTATTCCATCACAAGGGATAACTATTTCAAATCACGAACTATGAAGGATCTTTTTAGTAATATAAGTTCTCATTTAATTATTGCATTTTTAAAAGAATTAGATTTGTTAACTGATTTGTAAATAGATAAATATTTTATGATTGGAAGTTTGAATTAATAACTCAGATTGTTAATGGCTGTATCATCAAAGGGGGTTAAAGTACTGCAAAATTACTGTCCTCCTGAGAGGATACGTAAGTCCACAAACATTCAAAGTAAATTGAAACTCTCCGCTATTTTTAATCGTAGAATATGTGTGTGTTTAAATGTATGGCTAGATTTGTCTACGTTGCTAACGGCTGAGGGGATGATGTAAATCCAGCTAGGGTCCATGCAGGAAGCAAATGTACTGTAAGACCCCATGGTACCTAGTATGGTGATCTACCTTCAGTCGTTGGCAATCCATAGCCTGTTTTTTATATTATATTGTCATTTATACTTCCAATATTTTAGATTTAATTGCTAGTTTTAAACTGATATCTGTGATACACTAGTAGTTTTACTGTTCTTCGTCAACAGGTTTTTTAATTTCTAACTTTATTGATCTTTAATATAATTATAAACTGTTCTCGTCACGATATGGCTGAAATATTGTCGATGTGACGATAAATATTAACTCACTCACTCACTTTTGGAACATTATATTTACTGTCTGCAAAAGAAAGTATAGTAAACTACGGTTATAACGACTGACTGACTGAGTTTGGTTTTACGCCGCTTTTAGCAATATTCCAGCAACATCACGGCGGGGGACACCAGAAATGGGCTTCACACATTGTACCCATTTGGGATTCGAACCCGGGTCTTCGACGTGACGAGCCAACGCTTTAACCACTAGGCTACCCCACCGCCCCACGGTTATAACGAACTCAGAGGGACCACTAAAGTTAGTTCGTTACAACCGTTGTTTGTTATAAGTGTATTCTACCCGTGAAGGTCCGGGTTAGAATGAACCTTCAGTAACCCATGCTTGTCGTATGAAAATATGGTGATTTATCTCTTTGCGCATTTGCCGAATCCTTAGTACAAATATTCATGCTGATTCGTGTTTGTAAATTCTTTGAATTTAAATAAGATATATTCCTTTACTATTCTACTTGGATCGGAATACTGTAATCTTTTCTCATTTATACCTAACCGCTATTATTTTTACATGGTTCGTTTGCCTTCTTTTTACATAATTCATTTATATCAATAACGACAGTCTCGTCAGCATATAACACTACAGTGATAATCTTGCAAATGTGACACTCTGCAAATCTAGATAATAGCTATCACATTGATTGTTTTAAGTTGCTTTGAATTCCAACATTGCAATCTCAATTTTTCAAAGGCGATCACAGCGTGAGACATCTGTCAAACATGTGGGAGGGTTATTGATATTTTACAGCTGCTTCATCCCGCCAAACAACGTGTTGCACGAATATACAATACATTTCTTGCAAGGGGGAAATGATACAGTAGTAAGTGAGTATGATTATACGCCGCTTTTAGCAATATTCCAGCAATATCACGGCGGGGGATCACAGAAATGGGCTTCACACATTGTACCCATGTGGGGAATCGAACCCGGGTCTTCAGCGTGACAAGTGGACGCTTCAACCATTAGGCTACCCCATCGCCACTACATGATATATGCAGTTAAGGTTGCGATACAATGCGTATCACGGTACACAGGCCGTGATACGAAACTTATCGCGATACGCATACTTATGTCGAATCGTGTGTAAACTATAAATGTTGCAGTGATGCTTCAAAGGAAAAGCTTGCTAAGGAAACCAGTTCGTCAGTGAGTGAGTGAGTGTAGTTTTACGCCGCACTCAGCAATATTCCAGCTATATGGCGGCGTTCTGTAAATAATCGAGTCTGGACTAGACAATCCAGTGAACAACAACATGAGCATAGACCTGCGCAATTGGGAACCGATGACATGTGTCAACCAAGCCAGCGAGCCTGACCACCCGATCCCGTTAGTCGCCTCTTACGACAAGCATGGGTTACTGACGGCTCATTCTACCCCGGACCTTCACGGGTTGTTCGTAGCGAATGTTTTTAGTAGTGATCTTGAAACTCTAACAACACTCTAGGGTAGGGATTAGGGGAGTCAATAAAGGAATACTGCAATCTCTGCAAAGGTATCCTTTTGCATCGGTACAGATAAGGAATCGCGTATTATGTAGTATATTGTGGCATGAAAACTCACGATCGATCCACTGATGTATCGTTTCACATTTAACTGGCGGTATTTTCATTTGGTGATAATCTGTTTATTTGGGTGTTTTTTTGTGTTCTTGCAGGTTACGGAAAGGAACGAGTGATGACGAATAATCGTTTTCCAGGAATGCATTCAGATCTTCACGGATTATATGAAATATCACTTTCTGATAACAGCAGCATGCAGGTTGTACAGGTCAGAGAAGTTGATTTTACGTGCGCTTCATATGATTTGCATATTAAAATTTGGCATGTTAAAAATAAGTTCCTGTCCGTTCCATGTTTGCCTCGCGTTTAATTTTTGCATTTACGCCTTATTAAGTGGGCTGAGGGAGTATTATGCTAAAGTTTTCGTTTTAGAACTGAAATAGTATTTGGAATTTTGTAAGGGATGTGGAAAATATATGTCGCATTGTGTAAAACAATGAGTGAGCAATATTCCAGAAATATCACGGCTGAGGACTAGTGCTGGTATTGGCATACAACCTGCGATACGATACATCACGATGCTAAAAGTTTTGTCACGACGATATATTGCCAAAGTATCGTGCACTGAAGCTGCGATACGATACGAATCACGATATAAGGGTGACGATACGATACGCATCACGATACTAACATATTTAATTCTAACACAACTATCAAAACCATTTTAAAGCATCTCGTCAAATTCCGCCGGCGTTTTTCAATGTTTATTCGGAAACGAGATAATTAAGTTTATACACGGACTTTGTGAATGATAACAACATGTGAGTGCTATGTCTGACACAGTTCTTGACGCAAGAATTTCCGAGAAAACGTTTACTTTGGAAGGGAAAATAAGTAAGCATATTTTAATCATCAAACAAAAGTGAGTCTTTTTTCTTGACAGATATCGCGATTCGGCAATATTCAAAGTTAAACATCGATGTATCGTTGCCCATTTGAAGTATCGTATCGGGATACACGCCAATGTAAAACTTTGTATCGATTCACTGTATCGGCGGCCCAAGGATCGATGTATCGATGCGTATCGATGAATCGTCAGAACACTACTGAGGACATCACAAATGGGTTTCAAACATTGTACCCACGTGTGGAATCGAACCTTGGTCTGCGGCATGACGAGCGAGCACTTTAACCACTAACCTACCTCATCGATATCATGACGATACTTCGGAGTATTAAAAAAAAAAAAAATTCCAGTTAGTAAGCTTTTAAATGATCTGCCGCTTTTATTTCACCCAAACATCTGCTATGTGTTGTCTGGTTTAATATTTTGGCACCATATCTCTGAGGATATCACTCCACGGGATCAGCACTCATATCACCACTGGCACTGCTTGACCGATGGTCACTGACTATTGTTTAATTTCTTTATATACTCCAGCACGGACTGACCGAGCAGCCTGTATTCTTCCATATAGTTATAGATGCAGGGACTGACTCTAAGGTAAGCTTTTCCCTGTAGTTCAAATGCGACAGTCTGGATGTTAGTTTTCCTCCAAAAGTCCATGAAGAAATCTTGGAACTGTTCCTGAAACACAAACAAATTGCATGATGTGCCATATCACACTCACAATTGCAAGAAGTGTTATTGTGATGTTCGTGTTGCCCTCTGCGGTGAAATCATGTTTTTGCGATTGCTATAGCTAATCTGAGAATTTGGGTAGTGGGTCAGCCTAGTGGTTAAAACGCTTGCTTTTCACGTCGACGACCCGTGTTTGATTCAACACTTGAACACAATGTGTTAAACCCGTTTCTGGTGTCTCCTTCGGTGATGACCCGTGAAGGCCCGGGTTAGAATATTGATCTCCAGAAACCCATGCTTGTCGTAAGAGGCGACTAACGGGATCGGGTGGTCAGGCTCGCTTACTTGGTTGACACATGTCATCAGTCCCCAATTGCGAAGATCGATGCTCATGCTGTTAATCACTGGATTGTCTGGTCCAGACTCGAATATTTACAGACCACGGCTATATATCTGGAATATTGCTGAGTGCGGCGTAAAACTACACTCACTCACTCAGGACCATCCGATCCCGTTAATTGTCTCTTTGGAGGTTAAAGTGTTAGCTTTTCAGGCCGATGACCCGGGTTCGATTCCCCACATGGGTACAATGTGTGAAGCCCATTTCTGTTGTCCCCTGCCGTGATGTTGCTGGAATATTGCTGGAATATTGCTAAAAGCGGAGTGAAATATTACTCTCTCACACATGATCACAAAATGTAAATATAACTGACACACACCGAACACAGAGACCAAGCTAACCATAAGTTGAACACCTCAGACCTCGATATAAAAGTGTTTGTCTGTATGTTATATTTGTGTTTGTCAATGGTACTGATAAGGCTTCTCCCGGGATCGTTGATCACTGGATTGCCTGGTCCAGACTAGATCATTTACAGACCGCAGCCATATTGCTGAAATATTGCAGGGTGAGGCGTACAACTAAACTCACTCACTCACTCACCCGGGATCATTCAATTATTGAACGTAGCAGTACCTTTCTCAGAGGAGGGTAGATCTCTGGCAGCTGTACCAGCTTCATGTTTGGCGCCTCCATGTCCCGAGGTAGGGCCGGCTTGTCTGTCTGGAACAGCTGAGCAAGGTACTCCTGAGCTTCTGCAGCCAGTTCAGAGCAGTAGGACATGATCCGATCCTGCAACACCACTGTACACTGAAACTCTGCTAATCCAGACACCCTGTAATGCGGACTAGTGCGTGGGAACGGGTGTACATCCAATTAAAGAAACATAACTAAATTGATGTACAAAAGAACGTTTATAAACACTTTGGGATCGTTTTCCAGAAAAAGATATTTTATAAAGTGTTGGCAACATGCTGTTTGTGTTTTCAAGTGAAATCAAAACACTTCAACATATTTACTTTGTTTTTTCATTTATATAATCCAAAAACGTAGCTGTATACTTTCTTTTGTACGACAGTTTACTTACTCCGAACTCGTTAATGTGTAACTATAAGATATGGATTGTCAGGGCTCGGATTTCACTTTTTAATGTTTGGGGTTGTAGCGTTGTACAGTTCATTGTTCTCTGTCTGTTGACGTCTCAGTACCCAATAGTATTTTTCGTTTCGTGAGAGTAGTTATTTTCATTAATACTATGGGCGCTGGGGTAGCCTAGTGGTTAAAGCCGTCGCTCGTCACGCTGAAGACCCGGGTTCAATTAACCACATGGGTGAAGCCCATTTCTAGTGTCCCCTGCCGTTATATTGCTGGAATATTGCTTTAAAAAACGGTGTAAAACTAGACACACTCACTCACTCACTCAGGAGTGGATTAATTACGCAAGCCGAGGGTGTTACAAGTCAGAGAAGTTGATTTTACGTATGCTTCTTAAGATTTGCATTCTTTCACATTAATTTGACATGTTAAAACAAGTGCTTCTCAACACGCCCTTCGCAGTGTCCCCCGCCGTGATATTTTTGGAATATTGCTAAAAGCGGCGTAAAATCCAACTCAGTCACTCACTCACTCAGGATTTAAAGTACAAGGCTATCCCACCGCGCCTCGCTTCATATGAAAAATGAAACTATTCGGAGAGTCTCACCATTCCTCCTATTCTGTCACAGAACTCCAAAGCGTATTTCGCGCACACAAACGGGACGTGGTCACGTGTTCCGGCTTGGCGGAACTGCTCACCAAGGGAACCGTCAGCCGAGTGTGACGTCACTAAAGGTTTTATCCAATCGTGATGCTTCCTGTTGACATATAGCACTGCGCAGCCGCGTGGAGTGAAGAGCCACTTATGGAAGTTACCTGTGTTAAAAACATGCACTGCTTTACTGAGAAGACATTATAGTATTGTCAAACATCATTGCTATCTGTCAGATTTATTTAAACCATTTAACACTTGCCGGAAACCATATTTTTCATTCCACATGTGAACGAAAGCAAACATGAGTGAGTGAGTCTCACCACCCGATCCCGAAAGCAAACTTGAATGTTGTAAATTATATGAAGTCTTTCAAAAGCAAATTTATATATTTACGAAACACATAGTTTTACATTTAACAACACTACGTGAACATCAGTGTTAGACATGGGTTAGCCTAGTGGTTAAGGCGTTCGCTCGTCACGCCGAAGACTCGGGTTCGATTCCCCACAATTTGTGAAGCCCATTTATGGTGTCCCCCGCCGTGATATTGCTGGAATATTGCTAAAAGCGGCGTAAAACCAAACTCACTCACTCACTCACTTGTCTGGTCCAGGCTCGATTGTTTAGTTTAGTTCAAACATATTATATTCACAATGTGAATAGTATCGGGGACAAGTTCTTACAACTTATGAAACCCCTCTCCAAAGATATTTATTCTATTAACTAATTACATCACAAACAATTATATTTAGAAACAGAGATAGAGGAAGATTGACAGTTCAGGGGAAATGTTATAATACAGAAGGTGTATAGAAGAAGACTACTGGAATCGTTTAGATTTACATATATACTTATGAACAGTTTTTAATATAATTTGAGCATAATACCAAGTGCAGAGTTTAAAACACATTTCAAGTCAAAACATTGATTACACAAGAGTCTCGTTTCCTGCTAATTGGGTTCCGTCCTGTTGCACACCTTAGTACAATAACCAGTCCAGAATTTTGGGACCAATTCATTCAGCTGGATACATAAATATTTATCAGTATTATCTGATACATCTAAGCACCTGTATATTGCAACACTACGCTCCTTCTAATCCTTGCAAACACGTCGTGCAGCGTGCTTTGTCGTACAGCGGGCTCTGACAAACGGAAATCGTGGAAATCTCAAAACGAGGCTCTGCCGCTAGAAATGTTTGGCGGTCTGGTACGGACTTGGTATTATATCAATCACATTGTGCGTTACAAAACTACACAGAATAAGCGCAAAAAACACATATTTGACAGCAAAATGTCATACAGTTCCAACCAGCAAACCCACCCCTATAAGTATATGACCAGTCCCTAAGAATTATATTTTTTGCAATGTGATTGCAGTTCCTTTTGTGTCAAATGGGTGACTGTGGGGTGTCTGGGATTTAAAAACACAATAATTATGCTTCAGACGGGGAAAGATAGAAATTATCTACTACAAAAATTACACTGGAGTTATTTAAAAAAAAAAATTAGGATCCTAGTACTCATTAATAACGTAGCAAGTCTCCACACAAAATCCCAGCCTGGTCGAGCAGAGATAATATATTCGCGACGCAGATAAGTTAGTCCCCGAAAACTGGTGAATTATAAAATACTTGTCAGGACAATGTATGTTTCCCCAGTGTTTGGTTATGGCAATAGTTATGGTACTCGGTCATAGCCTTAGAATGGCATCTTGTCAGCCAATGTGAACACAGAACAACTTTCACGGCACACACTACTGACAAATAGCGAGTCTGATGCCGACGTGCGTAATTGGACAAAATGGAAAACAATGAAAGCAACAAGTACTTCATGATTTGCCGTTGTATTCGGCAATGTTTCGGGTAGACTGCAGCATTTAGGGCTCCAAACCGAAAAGAACGTCATAGCGAAACATTTTCAAGCTCATGTGAAATGTCTTACTATTTTTGATGGTACCTATCTCATCGGTACCAGTGGAACTGCCCCAGCTACAAAATGCCCCAGCAAATTTGGTCATTCATTCTAATTTGGTCACATTTATTTAAAATGATTAAATATATGCTGTAAATGCATAGTTTTTGTCAACTTTGATATTATGTTCTTCATATAAAAGTTATTAAGAAGCAATATTTCTGATAAATGTTCCATCAGTAACCACATAACTATGTATATATACTTTTATATGAAGAACATAACATCAAAGTTGACAAAACTATGCATTTATATATATATGGCCTTTATGTAATCATTTTAAAATAAATTGGAGCATTTAACTACCCCTTTAACTACCCCCTTGGGGCAATTCGACTGGCAATAGTACTTGATTTAATTTATTTTAAAAATACCACTGACAGTAAGCTGTAACAGGGAATGATGGAGTATAAATGAATCCCGTGGGTAATTCTTCCTTCTTCTGCCAAGTTTTGGGATTTGTATGCCCCATGTGGGCTTGTCTCTTTCATATGCGTCCGACCCGGAATGATCGGACCATTTCTCCTGCCTAAGTCTGTCTCTTTACTTGGAAAACGGAAGAAATGGTGGCTTTCCATTGTTCGATGATTCCGTGCATCCCCAGGCAACAGAATACACCGTCGTACCATTTACAAAAACGACAGAAACAACACGATTTGTACTACTGTAGCGCTTGATCTTTGGCATTATGGCGGACTCCAGGCACATTTGACGTCACGAGCGGAAAGGTCACGTGGGTTCCAGCGAAATATGCATAATGGCCGAAGCTGAGATTTACAGAAACTGTTTTCGCGATTAAAGCATAATTATACATAATTTTTAATTGAAAATTTGGGAATATGTTTCTGATGACATTATCTTTCACCGAGGAAAATTATTGCAATTCAAATTTCAAATTAAAATTAACTTGTAAATACCATTTTCTTATGAAACAAGGAATTGGAATGCAGTGTAACCATAGTTGTTTGTGGTGTCTCTTTTCACTTTCACACAAGAAAATTCGGATCAGCTGAAAGGTAGGTCATTGTCTGAATTGGTTAATGTTTCGGTTTGATCCTTAAGTCATTTATTCATTATTGTCAGCCTTTGAAAACTGTGAATTGGACCCCTCAAACAGTAGATGAAGTTGGTCACACGCCATTGGGGTACAACGACACCCAACCAACTAAGCCACGGAGTGTAAACAACCGTTGTAAAAGTTGCCTCACACGGCATGCGTATTTGCTGGGAATCTAATCCAAAGATTTTAAAATGGAACCTACTCTCCGTCCCCAATCTAACCCCTAAATATCTGTCATACAAGGGACCTGTTCTACCTGTATAGAAGTCGACGCAGAGATCCTCCAAATCCAGAGGAACATGTCCGGGCGCATGCGCACCATCAACCAACACGAGAGCGCCATGTTTGTGGCAAATCTTGGCCAGCTTCTTCACAGGGAGCAACACAGCAGACGGGCTGGTGATGTGATCTGGATAACAACAAACCGACAAGACAATAACCTTCTACATCAGCATCTGTCGTTTATCAAGGAGCTTTCGTACCCTTCAGTGCTGTTGCAAACATCTGGCAGCTGTGATTGGATGAAATTGTGTGAGTTTGTTGTGTTTTTTGTAAATGTACATCCATCAAATATTTAAAACAGACCACGTTTCGGTGGGGTGGGGTGGGGTGGGGTGGTGTTAAATATCTAGTGTTTTCGTTTTTAACATAACAACTTATGCTGAATGTGACCAAGGGTATTTTCAAGAGGGGTACATTTTCTGCGGAACTGCGGTTGAGTCTGTGTATCTTCCTGTACTCGGAAAAGGAGCTGGTAATAACTAGTGTTGGGAACTGGATGACATCTCACAATTGACAACTGGTTCATAACAATCGATCAATCATCGAAAATAATTGTTTTGGTTGTTGTTTTTGTATTTTGTATTGGTTTTACAATTGGTTACCAAGATTACAATATTGCTTAAAGTATATACTACATGCCGTGATACGTATTTTTCTATAAATATAATTATGGCATAATTCATTAAATAGATAACGTACAGGTGAAATATTTTTTGTATAAATATATTTATAAACATGCATAATTCATTAAATAGATAACGTACAGATGTACAGGTGAGATATTTTGGTATTAATATATTTAATATAATTCATTATAAACATGTACAGGTGAGATATTTTGGTATTAATATATTTATAAACATGCATAATTCATTAAATAGATAATGTACAGATAATGTCAGGTACAAGTCAAAACAGTTCGAGTCATCTAAGTACTGGGGAGAGAAGGCTCCATTTATGATGGAAAGTATTTATTTTATTATTTTTTGCTGATATATGTTTTTCCACAAACAATATTTCTTTTAGAGTTTTTATATAGAAAGTTAGATTTGGAAGCATATTTTTAATACTGCATAAGTGAATATGTCTCTTTGCAGCAATGATGATGATCATGACAAGATCATCGAAAATAATTGGTTAGCGTCATTTATCAGATTCTCCTGGTTATGTTTGTTAATGCACAAAAATATAGAAAAAACGTGTTGTTCTTTCGGATTTTTTCTGCAAATTGCACAAAATGCATTTACAAATTTCACATCTTAAAGGATGACTAGTATGGTATGAACCTAAATTTCCTGGATAATTCAATCATGACAAGGAATGAGCTAGCAGTGCTTGTGAAATGTAACAGACAAAACCAACCTTGTGAAAATGGTTGTCAATGCAAACCAGTGTTCCAAAATTGTATGTGTTCGATTATGAGAAAACATGATTGATTGCCTGGTTGTTTAGTCATTGCGACCAATATTCGATTACAATTATTATTTCAATTAATCGGACCACCACTAGTAATAACCAGGGCCCACTTGCACAAAGCGATCTTAGCGCTACGACTATCTTAAGCCTATGTTGGAGAATGGGAGTTACAATCATTGTAGCACTAAGATCGCTTTGTGCAAGTGGGTGACGATCATTGTGTATTGTTTGTATTGCTGTTTAAAGGCCAATCAGTGCACACACGCAAATGTAATAGCTGTTGAAGAAGCTTCATTTAGTTGCTTATTAAAACAATATAACGTAACCAGAGACGTTACTGGGAAATGTGACGTGTGTCGAGCATATATCAAGGTAGGGATAACATCCCTCGGTTTAAGTCATATTCCAGTCCAGCTGTAGAAGTTTTCATTTAATAGCAAACTGATTATTCAACGCAGCTGAAAAAATATGATAATCACACTAAAAACAGATCTTTTACTTGAAGTACAATACTGGATTACTGGTGCACTGACGGTTGAGACAAGCCCTTGTTAAAACAGGAAGATTTTCAGTCCTGAAAAGATTTAATCATTTAAATACCTTCATATTTGTCAATCTTATGACGATATTTTACTTTAATGCGATACCACTTTTGGTAAAGTTCCGAGGACACCTAACTTAATGATTGTGTGAGATCACATTTATATAGGAGTGACCCAGCAGAGCTCCAGATAAGATTGAGCTAATGTGGGTACTGTACCCACTGTATATTTTTGGAGTGGGTATTATGAATGTTGAGTGGGTATTTCATTTACCGTTACCCACTGCTTTCAAATATGTACGTATTTTAGTCATTTTACACACCTAAGTATTGTGTCATTGAGTAAGTTTACTAAGCAGGTATGTTCTGTCTTATGTCATACCTAATCAAAACCAACTTAAATATAAGGGAAATGATTTTATAAAAAAACTGTCATCCTATACTGACAGTACAACACTTGTCCTATTCTCACGGTACAACTAGATAGCAATCGATGTCTTTTTCATTACGCAAGCGATTTTTATAAGTATATTCCATACGCATTTGTTTTAAACGCTTTGCGTATCTAACAGTTTAAATGCGTAATTGGTACGCAACAATTATTTTTCAATGCGTAATTGGAAAGTTTCTATGCGTATTTTACCCGGATACGCAGCTTATCTGGGCCTCTAGACCCAGCTTCAGACTGTATGTAGAGGCCCGCTCCTTACCTATCACCACAATTCTGGTCTTGGGGTGATTCTGCAAATACTCTTCATACTGTCTTAACACTGCTTCATCGCTCTCAATCGGGAACCGAATTTCCAGAACCTCGGACTTGATAACTGTAATTAAACCATTTAGTCATCATGTATAGATCTAAAACTTATGAAACAAGTCAAATAATAAACACAGAATAAATGTTTCTGAGAATTTATCACATCACTGACGTCCGAAATATATTTGACAATATCATTCGTGATGTGGAATGTCAATATCATCATAATCACAAGGGGCGGTGGGTAGCCTTCTGGTTAATACGTTCGCTCGTCAAGGTGAGATGAGGTGAAATTGGGTTTAACGTCGTGCTTGAGAATATTCGCTCATATGACGACGTGCATGTGTGTGTATGTGTATGTGCGGCTGCTTGTACTAGCCCAGACTTAAGCTGGTTTTATAGTGCTAGCACACTGAGATACCATGCCGCAGTGAAACATGAATACCCCACTCAGACACATTATACTGACTCCGGGCCGACCAGTCCTTGTTGTACCCATTAATACCGAGCGCCAGGCAAGTACCATATTTTAATGTCTTTTGGTATGACGCGGTCGGGGATCGAACCCGCGACCTTCAGCTCTCCGGGCGGACGCTCTAACCACTACACCACGGAGGCGGTCTGGCCCCCAGGGCCCATGAAGTTTCTGCTCAAAGAGGAACCCACTAATCCTACCATATTCCTTATAACGGCGTACCTCGATTCTGGGCAGCGACGTCCCTGCATGTGAGAGCTACTGCTCCATATGTGAGACTGGTGGACAAGATTGTCTCGCCTTCTTTGAAATCATAGCATTTCAGCACAGCGTTGATGCCTGAAAGAATATAATAATGTGAATATAGATTCTTCATTTGAAACATGACCTGAATTGACCTTCCTCATAACTAAAAACCGTCAAGTTATATTTCAGCAGACAGAGCAACCCGACAGATGACTGATACACAGGCCCGTTAATATCCGGGTTAGAATTGGTCTTCAGCAACCCATGATTGTAAGAGGCAACTAACGGGATCGGGTGGTCAGTTTCACTGACTTGGTTGACACATGTCATCGGTTCCCGATTGCGTAGATCGATGCTCATGCTGTTGATCACTGGATTGTCTGGTCCAGACTCGATTATATACAGACCGCCGCTATATAAACTGACGTACAAAAGAAAGTACACACCCGGTGCATTTGGACTACTTTCCAAAAAGCTACGTAAATGTTTGGAAAAGAGCTTCTACAGTGATATATAAGTCACAGACTTTTCTAAGATGTTGCCAAAACACCAGAGATATCGTGCCCAATTGCGAAGTTGCCAGTCAAAATCACAACACTTTTCAAATAATCCCAAAACACCAGGTGTGTACTTTCTTTTGTGCGTCAGTTTAGCTGGAATATTGCTGAGAACGGCATTAAACAATAGCCAAACCAACATGAGTCATCAGAAGATGACATATCCCCCCGGCCCTCACATCTTTGAAAGAACAAATAATCTGACAGTTACTTAAAGTCCAGCTTGATTTTAGACTAAGTGCAAATCTTTTCCATGGAAATCATGAAAAAAATAAATGACAAAAATCTGCAAATAGCAAAAGGCAGCACTTCAAGATCTGTCTTACATATCTGCCAAGTTTTACTGAAAGATATTAAGAAGTTTTTGAGTTGTGCTCCGGAAACGAAACCTACCCCGCCCTTTTGAGACTTAGTCCAAAACGTTTCCATGGAAATACAAATGCCCAAAATCTGCAAATAGCAAAAGGCACTACTTAAGGTTCTGTTTGATATATCTACCAAGTTTTGTTGAAAAATATTTAACGGTTCTTGAGTTATGCTCCGGAAACGAAGCCCACCCCTCACTTTTGGGACTAAGTCCGAATCGTTTCCATGGAAACCGGGAAAAATTAAAAATGCCAAAAGTCTGCAAATAGCAAAAGGCACAACTTTAGGATCTGTTTGATATATCTACCAAGTTTTGTTGAAAAATATTGAGCGGTTTTTGAGTTATGCTCCGGAAACGAAGCCTACCCCTCACTTTTGGGACTAAGTCCGAATCGTTTCCATGGAAATCGGGAAAAATAAAAATGCAAAAAATCTGCAAATAGCAAAAGGCACAACTTTAGGATCTGTTTGATATATCTACAAAGTATTGTTGAAAAATATTGAGCGGTTTTTGAGTTATGCTCCGGAACGAAGCCCACCCCTCTTTAAGACTAAGATCAAAACGTTTCCATGGAAACCGAGAAAAATATAAATGACAATAATCTGTAAATAGCAAAAGTCTTAGGTTATGTTTGACATATCTACCAATTTTTGTTGAAAAATATCGAACGGTCTTTGAGTTATGCTCCGGAAACAAAATGATTACGGACGGGCTCACGGACGGACGAGGCGACGACTATATCCCACCGCATTACATGCCGGTGGGATAAAAACTTACACATAGTACATTATTTAGCACGCTTCACTTAGCCCTATCACTTTTATAAGACCTGTATACGGTCGACAATCGCCTCATTGTGAAATGCTGCAATTTGGCTTGCAGAGTTGCGTCCCCTGCACAGGCCGTAAATGATCGTGGGTTTGAATCTCAAATTTGCCCTCGTCAAGTGGCTAGGTTCGTCACAACATACCTTAGCGCTGAGACTACCTTAAGTCTACTAGTATTTAAGGTATGGGAGTTATGGTCTCCTTAGCGCTATGGTTGCTTTGTACAACGGCACCCTGGGCTTACCCTCTGTAGCGTTGGTAACAAACACTATGTCTTGGGAATCACAGTTGAAGAACCGGGCCGCCGCCCTAACAGACTCGTCCCAATGCTTGTTAACGCTGTCTCGGAACCATAGGTCGGGCTGGGCGTTCATCTCGGTCAGGAAGCTGGGATTGAGGAAATGTGTTGTTAATAATTCATAATAAAACAATGTTTGTATGTTTCATTATAACACGGCCATCACAAATATTCCAGCTGTATGACGGCGGTATGTAAATATTCGAGTACGGACAAGGCAATCCAGTGATTGACATCATGAGCATCGATCTACGCAGTACGCAATTGGGATACTACATGCATAATCCAAGTCAGCGAGACTGATCACTCGAACCAATTAGTCGCCTCTTACAGCACGGTGGCTGAAGACAAATTCTAACCCGGATATTTATTGGCAATGTGTATTTAATATTTACCATTCAAATCAAACATGGCTTAGTGACAGCGTTTGCACAGAGAGTGGAAGTTCTACGTTCGATCCCCTATCGTATCAGAGGTGAGGTGAGGTGAGGTGAGGTGAGGTATGGTGAAATTGGGTTTTACGTCGTGCTTGAGAATACAAATGTATTTCGCTCATATGACGACGTGCATGCGTGTGTATGGGCGGCTGCTTGTACTAGCCCAGACTGAAGCTAGTTTTATAGTGCTAGCTCACTGAGATACCATGCCGCAGTGAAGCATGAATACCCCACTCAGACACATTATACTGACTCCGAGCCGACCAGTCAGGGACAACAAGTACCATATTTTAACGTCTTTTGGTATGACGCGGTCGGGAATCGAACCCGCCACCTTCCGCTCTCGGGGCGGACGCTCTAACCACTACACCACGGAGGCGGTCTCCTATCGTATCAGAACAAATGACGTCAATAGTAAAGAAGATGGTACTTTTTGTTACCCTGTCTGACGGTCGGATGTCGGCAGGTCGACTGTAAGTGGGGCATCAACAATCATCATCGCTAATGTGACGTATATGCTCCTTTCACCTCCGGTGTATACATAGATTACAAAACGAGTGGAAGTTGGAAAATATTCCAACGAGATATTGTTTAAATGATTTGATTTATTCACGAGCGTTTATAAAAAAATTACAAAAAATACTAATCCCCAGGACACCGAAATTTAATTTTAATTATCAACAAACCTAAAGTTTTGTATTGTTGACATTTTTTGTTAAAATATCGAGGTGGCAACAGAAAGTTCGGCATTATGAACAACCCAGTTTCGTTACACAAACCCCGTCGGATAACTTTCAACAGGTTACACAATACCTGTTTCAAATTGCCAAAGTTATCTCATAAAGATATTCAGAACACGTGTGTAATAAAATCAGGAATACAACGGAGGTTTCGTTCGTGAATAAATCAAAACGTTTAAAAATATCTCGTTGGAATATGTTCCATATTCAACACTCATTCGTTTTGTCATCTCTTATGTATGAGATTGTGGCTATCGTTCACCCACTGCACGGAATGTTATCCATAATATAACTAACTAATCTGGGTCTCGATCCATAAAGCGTTCGTAGAGTTACGTGCTGTCGTGCTACGTGCTTTATCGTAGGATTACGAATGACCTAGTCCTACGTACACTTTACACGCCTTACATAGGACAAAAGTGACCCAGTCCACAAAGCGGTCGTAACATTACGACCTGTCGAAATTCTATAGTTTATCATAGGATAACGTAGAGCTACGAATCCTTTTCGGATCGAACCCCATGTACAGAATCGATTTTACAGACAGTCATCATATGGCTAGGCTGTATGCTCTGTTTGGTGCGTTAAAATAACAAATAAATGAGTGAGTGAGTGAGTTTAGTTTTACGCTGCACTCAGCAATATTCCGCTATATGGCGTCGGTTTGTAAACATTCGTGTCTGGACCAGACAATCCAGTGATCAACAGCATGAGCATCGATCTGGGCAATAGCAATATTCCAGCAATATCACGGTGGGGGCTTCATATGGGAAATCAAACCCCGATCACTGACGCTTTAATCCCTAGGCTATCCCACCGCACCGCAGAGTCAAACAAACCGCACCCTCACACATTACCATCTCTGCACTTCCTGCATGCGCCTGGCAACAGCGCCGTTCGACCCATGGTTGAGTGGAGTGAGTGAGTGGGTTTGGTTTTACGTCGCTTTTAGCAATATTCCCGCAATACCACGGAGGGGGACACCAGAAATGGGCTTCACACATTGTACCCATGCGGGGAATCGAACCCGGGTCTTCGGCGTGACGAGCGAACACTTTAACCACTAGGCTACCCCACCGCCCCGCAGAGTCAAACAAACCGCAGTCACTCTCTCACCCTCACACATTACCATCTCTGCACTTCCTGCATGCGCCTGGCAACAGCGCCGTATGACCCATGGTTGAGTGGAACAGTTCCTTGTTGGAATGTGAACTCCCGCTCTTGGAGGGTTTTCCCAAACTCGACATCAGCTTCCAGACCGTCGAAAAACATCATGAACCTCACCTGGAATATCAACATGAGAATGCTCACTATAACATATTGTAACATATGTGGCATAATGACTTAACCAATGCAGGTTACCCGGTTTGACTGAGTTAGTGAGTATGGTTTTACGCCGCTTTTAGCAATGGTATTACAAGAAGTTCTCAACTGACCTACTTCGTGAGTGAGTGAGGTTAATTGTACGCCGCACTCAGCAATATTCCAGCCATATGGCGACGGTCTCTAAATAATCGAGTGTGAACCAGACAATCCAGTGATTACCAACATGGGCATCGATCTACGCAATTGGGATGCGATGACATATGTCAACCAAGTCAACGAGTCTGACCACCAGATCCCGTTAGTCGCATATTACGAAGATCAGTTCTAACCCGGGTCTTCAAAGGTGCCCAGCTTCGAAAACACAATGCCATTTAGAAAGTGGTCAAATTAACATTTACCCTTTCTCATAGACTAACACCTAGTCTCTGAAATGAGTGAGTATGGTTTTACGCTGCTTTCAGCAATATTCCAGCAATATCACGGCGGGGGCACCAGAAATGGGCTTCATTGTACCCATGTGGGGAACCGAACCCGGTAAACAGCCAGTGTATCCCTGCTGGCATCAAGCTGACAAGCTATTCTCTTGATGACAATGGCCCAATCTGGTTACCACTCTGCCATCAAGTGTATAAGTGAAGGTGCTAACGGCAATAAGCACCCTTGTCTACCTAAGAGGATGGTGGTAGTCCTATTCCTATTCTTAAGCGGTGGACAGTGGGGTTCCAGTGGCGAAGAGAGAGCCTTCCAAGATCGGAAAAAGTTCAACAACCACCACGAAGAAATATGCTGATAATATGTATGATTATCGATAGTTGATCGTCGATTCACCACACGTCCAAAAGCCGATTTGTTTTTTCCCTTTAAGATACCAACCAAATATAGTGAGTGAGTGAGCTTAGTTTCAGCAATATTCCAGCTATATGACGGCGGTCTGTAAATAATCGAGTCTGGACCAGACAATCCAGTGATCAACAGCATGAGATTCGATCTACGCAATTTGGATATGACATGTGTCAAGATCACTGAAGATCAATTCTAACCCGGACCTTAACGGGTCCCAACCAAATATAATGTGTTGACGTACCACATCGAATTCTTACACGTTTCGTAAACTATTATTATTATGATTTTGTCGTTGTTTGTCATTGTCTAACGCCGCACTCAAGTCTGGAAGAGAGTATTAACAATGTCTCGACCAGATTGTTATCATCAAGTCTGGACCAGATTATCCCATGACCACTGATCTCTGCAACAGGCTTCAACAACATGTGACTACCAAGTCAGCGAACCTGAACAACTTATCCCGTAACTCGCCTCTTACGACCAGCTATAGATCGATTTTAACCGCACTACTCAGGTATCCCATTGCTAATATTGTTATCATCTCTCACTGGAGCGTGGACAACATTCTGAGGGGTGGATGGAGGCTGACAAAAAGCCTGGGTTCTGCTGGGTTCCTAGGCCTGAACAGCCCTTGACCCGTAAGGTGCCTGTCTCATCATTTATCGCGGGATTTTACGTGGTTTTGAAGCGGAATGAGGTGGTTTTGTTGAGCCATTTATGGTCAAGTATGAGTGCAAGGATCAACAGAAACAAGGAAGAAGACGAAAGAAACAACTCATCATCTGCAAAACATGACTGCAGTGTTGAATTCACTGATTAAACATCGTCCGTATTCCTAATCCCCGGCCGCGTCATACCAAAAGACGTTCAAAATGGTACTTGTTGGTCCCTGCCTGGCGATCGGCATTAATGGGTAAAACAAGGACTGGTCGGCTCGGAGTCAGTATAATGTGTCTGAGTTGGGTAATCATGCTTAACTGCGACATGGTATCTCAGTGAGCTAGCACTATATAAAACCAGCTTCAGTCTGGGCTAGTACAAGCAGCCATACATACACATGCATGCACGTCGTCATATGCGCGAAATATTCTTAAGTGCGACGTTAAACCCCATTTCACCTCACCTCACCGTATTCCCAGAAAGTGGCCTCTTACAACTGTTCTTCAAATATTATCCACAAGATGGCGATCTCGTATCGGCTGTTTGGGGACTCAATACTATACCAGGAGGAAGCCTTCTAGACCAGCTAGATCCAGGCACTCCCTACATTCTTGGTAGAATTGTGTGGACCTCGGAGAGAATTTTGTTGAAAATTTATTCGCAACCTACCTCAACAATCCAGTCTTAAACAGTTCTTCTTCTTCTTTATAATTTAGCGTCAATATCCAGCTCAGCAGCTGCTCAAAGGCGCTTTGGTTTTTTACCTCGATCATTGGATGTCAATCTCAAACGGCACATTGTATTATCAATCTCAACTCCCTTGGGATAATACAACTCTTGCAGCTTATCGCCAGATAGACATTTTCAGCTTACCCAATGAGTGCTTCCGTCTCTCTGGATGTAATTCTTCTAAGTCAGCTATGTTTCATGAAGATGTGCTTACGCATGCAAACGCCTTGTCACCATTTTGTAGCATTCGCTCATACGCCAGTACGTGGTGTGCGTAGCAATGATTACTCGTTCGTTTTACTCAATATTAATATTTGTTACATATCGCTGCTCGAAACATTTACAAATACATACATCCAAATGTAGGTCGTTAATTTTGTCAGTTGGAGAACATAAATACACTTATAAAGTACTGCTAAGCATACAAATTATGGGGGCGTGGCCTGTAGTCTGCCTGGAATGCGTATGGCGGACTGAGTATGGTTTTATGCCGCTTTTAGCAATATTCCAGCTGTGTCCGGTGGGGGACACCAGAAATTGGCTTCACACATAGTACCCATGTGGGGAATCGAACCCGGGTCTTTGGCGTGACGAGCCATATACTGGTCGAACATATGTTAGATGATTTTGGGCACTGCGTGAGACTTCAGCTTAATCCTCGACAAACTTTAGTTTGTAGTTGACACAAGCTGACATTTCACTGGAGAGTCATTCAACAAGTTTCGGGGCCGGTGGGGTTGCCTAGTGAAGACCCAGGTTCGATTCCCCACATATGTGTAAAATGTGTAAAGCCTATTTCTGGTGTCCCCCGCCGTGATATTGCTGGAATATTGCTTAAAGCCGCGTAAAACCCAACTCACTCACTCCACAAGTTTCGATTCGGGCACTTTGCTTATCAATGTCTGTCAGCTGTCTAAGCTCGAGGTGGGCACAGACGGTATTGCGATGTGTCACGTGGCCGTTGTTCAGACACTTGTTCTGGAAGTGCTTGTTAAAACTCTTCTAGAAACTGTGCAGTATTGTTCAAAAACTATTATAATGTTATTTTCTCTACTTTCATATTTTGACAAATGAAAATATATGACCTTTTTTCCTGACATGCGTTTGTATCCTTCTCAGTAAAGATAGATGTTTAGGCTGAATCGCCGCTTCAAACTACAATATTACAACAAAATGAAAAGCTCCCCAAATCCAGCTGGCGTCGATAATCTACGCCTGGTAACATCTGAAAGCTACCCCTTTCTACGTCTGACCTAATTAATTCGTTCCAGAAGTCTCGTGGCCATAGCCGACCGACATAACTCGGTCGTGTCTGATGTTTGAGTAGTTAGGCCCGTGCGAAACGAGTATCTGACCTCCTGTGTAATACCATCCTCGAGGATGGTGTAATACATTCTAATAGCGAAATTTACTAACTGAAGATTCCTTTGTATTATTTCACTTCATAGACTGAACGTAAGTCTACGTTCCACGCCCACAATCGAAGTTGTGACAAAAGCAGATCTCTTCCCATTTCCACAATATGTCCTCGACCGCAATATGTAGGTTGTCAAATGTACCGAGTAAGCCCGAGTAATATTTCATTATGATTATGTTTCGCTCTTACCTGTATTTCTTTTTCAGTTTCAACGGGATAGCTCAGGTGTTAAAGGTCACGTGATCAAGCGGTCTCATTCTAATCTCCATGAAAGAAATTAGAGTTACGTCCCTTTGAGTATCGTTGGGCTATCATTCCCGTGACAATGTAATGCAAACAGTTCACTGGAATTAGAATTACTGCGCTAGATGTTGTGTTAGGGAAAAACACTGGATAGATTTACTAGTAAAATAAGCACAGGTTACGTGAACGAAATGAAACATAAGGACCTCGCAACCGAACAAAACACGCAGTTATTCAGAAACAATTTTGTCTTAATTAGGACAATCTGAATTTTTGGCCTTTAGGGTTTTTTAATTTTTTTATAACGTATTATGGTATATGATGAAAAGGGTATTGGATGGCAATGTTATAAAATACAACATAACAACCCTCAACCTCCATCCACTGCTGGACTTTGACCCTTGGGTTGGTATAATCCCTATTAAATGGTCCCTGCATGCACATATCTCATGAGTGTGAATGAGTTTATAAGTTTTACCCAACACTCAGCAATATTCCAGCTATATGGTGGTGGTCTGTAAACAACCGAGTCTGGACCAGACAATCCAGTGATCAACAGCAAGAGCACTGATCTACGCAATTGGGATACGAAGAGCAATTCTAACCTGGATGTTCACGCTCTCATATCTAATGATGGTATATGTACATGGTCAGACGTGTGTGTGTGTGTGTGTGTGAAACAAGCACCTGGTATCATCACTTATCCAAGGTATTGTACCTTCATTGTATAATTCATACAATTAATAACCTGGTCCCAGCATAGCTACCTTTTTGGAATGGCTTTGATCAGGTTGCAATGATGTCCGCTCTCAACCCTCCACCAAGAAGAAAGCAAAGTAGGAAATTAATACAGTGAAATTTTGAAATTCACAACATCCGGCACAATCACTGTAGCACATCCAGCAACAGTATGCATAATACTACTTGATCAATAGACCACATCTGCCACACACACATTGTTGTGAGTCAGGTGATATATTGCCTATTGAATTATTGTTACCTTGACCCATCATTTTCAGTTTGAGGTTTTCATATTGGAGTGAGTGAGTTTAGTTTTACGTCGGACTCAGCAATATTCCAGCTATATGGTGGCAGTCTGTACATTATTGAGTGTCGACCAGACAATCCAGTGATCAACAGCATGAGCATCGATCTACACAATTGGGATACGATGACAAGTTAACCAAGTAAGCGAGCCTGACCTGATCCAATGGTTGCCTCTTACAACAAGCATGTGTAACTGAAGATCAATTCCTAACCTGATCTTCACAGATCTTCCATATTGGACATATTGTCAGATGTTTTGTCATCACTTATTTAGTGTACATGTACTGATATGCTGTACTTGTGACGGATCTACTCCAAAAATCTGGTCCTATATTTTTCCAGGAGTGTCGCATCAGGCCAGCACAACACTGAATAATAACAAACTCGTTGCTATGAGGTTACTTGTGCTATAAGCCACACCAACAATTTGGTTATGAAGTTCTTCTAGGGTGCAGCATCTGACCAGCACAACACTGAATAATAACAAACTTGTTGCTATGAGGTTACTTGTGCTATAAGCCACACCAACAATTTGGTTACGAAGTTCTTCTAGGGTGCAGCATCTGACCAGCACAACACTGAATAATAACAAACTCACTGCTCTGAGGTTACTTGTGCTATAACTATGGTGTTCCAGTTAAATGAAATAATCGAAGATTGGTCGCAGTCGATCACATTTTCTCATAATCGAACACAAACAATTTTGGAACTACTGTTTGAGTGTTTGAAACACTTAGCAAAGGAATGTATCTTAGAAGCTGTCAGGGCGTGGAAACGTGTTTAATTCTTAGAAAACTCATTTCACTTACTGAAAAGTCATGACTGCATATTTCTTGAAGACTCCTGGAAGTATGTTCATGATATATTAGTCATCACTTTAAAGTAGCAAGATGTATCATTATAAATAGGATGTGAAATTTGCAAATGCAATTTTCAGATTTTCAAAGGGACCGTTCATAATTTATGGTCGGTGTGTGTGTGTGTGTGGTTTGATGATGGTTTTTATGGAGGTGCATGTACAATGTGAATGACCCCCCCACTAAAATGTATGTACAAAATACGTAACCCCCCTACATGTCATGTACAAAATCAATGACCCCGGCTCCCTCCCCATAATTTCTAAGCATAATTTAAAACACATTTTATGTAGAATATTGATGATCACCCACCCACCCACCCCAACTCGCCAGAACAAAATGGGTGACCCCCCCTTAAAATCATCTCACACACACACACACCCACACCCAAAGCCATAAATTATGAACGGTCCCTAAATAAAGCAAAACACAACAGAAGACCACGCTGTACTTATCTGCAATAACAACCTGAATAGGAAAACCTGAAATAATGATGCTCACCAATTTTTTTTTTGCTGCTTACCTGATTTTTTTCGATGACTGCTTCCTGGTAATGAACCAATTATCCATTGTGAGATTGCAACCAATTCCCTAACACTTGCTATAACCCACACCAACAATCTGGGTATGAAGTTCTTCCAGGGTGCAGCATCTGACCAGCACAACACTGATTAATAACAAACACAATACTATAAAGATAAATGAAATGTATTATTGTTCTCCCTTCCCACCCAAAACAAAGAAATCAGAATTAGAATCACTGTAGCTCTTCACATATTGTACACATGCAGGGAATCAGATGTGGGTCTGCGGCCTGACGATGCTTCAACCTCTTAGCTTCCTGACCACCTCTTTACCAAAATAACATGGATATATGAAATGTTGATGTTGTGACACAACACATTGTATTCATACATCTAGACCGATGCTGCAGACTGAGCATTGCATACAGCTGAATGATATAACACAGATGCCAACCCCAAACTGGTGGAATTAGGAATCTGAGCTCCCTAAGGCCAGACCAATTTTATTTCTTGTTTTACGGATCCGCTGGTCGTATTTTTTCAAGAATAATAATTAGAAAAAAAATTCTCCGCTCAAAAAATAAAATCCTTATGTTTTTATTGGGCAAAAATGTAAACTTACAGGATTTTGTTTTTTGATTGTTTATTGCCCCATATACACTGCATAAATTGCCAGAAGTAAAGTACTTTTAATATTTACAATGTTTTTCCCGCCTGCCTTTAGTTTCTGTAAAACAAGAAATAAAATTGGTCTGGCCTAAAACAGAAAAAATGAAACTGGTTTGCAGTACTCGGCAGCAGTGTTTGTGAATGTTAACTGAATGACTGATTGACTGACTCACTGAGTCTGGTTTTACGCCGCTTTTAGCAATATTCCAGCAACATCAGGGCGGGGGACACCAGAAATGGGCTTCACACATTGTACCCATGTGGGGATTCGAACCCGGGTCTTCGGCGTGACGATCCAACGCTTTAATCATTAGGCTACCCCACCGCCTCTTAACTGAATGAAATAAACAGTGTGTTGAATTTATCAGGCAGCCTACTCAACTTCCAGATTAATTTCTATTTAAACCATTTGAGAAAGTGTTATATTTATTTAATTATCATTATTCATAGTCAAAGATGATCCTAGCCCTCCAGTAAGTAAGGCTATCTATATCTTTGTTATATTTTGAAAAAAATCAGAATGAATTTGGCGCAATCGGGTCATCATTTTTCGGGTCATCATGATTCTGATAAGTTGGGGGGGGGGTTGGCATCTCTGACATACCATGGCTGCCTTGCTTTAGACTGATCATGTTCCTGCATGTATCGAGACAGCTGTGACCAAGAAGCGAGATACAGAACAAAAACATAAACAATCAAAACATTTCAAATACATTATAATGTTATCTGTATGCAGTCTACATAAAGCATCGAACTTAACAATTTATTACTCGCCCGTGGAAGATACTGCTGTGTAGCATGTTTACATCACTATCACACTAGTGTAACAACGGTAGACGAATGACGTCATAATGGTTCACAGTCATGACGTCACAATGATAATACCTCTGTCACAATGGTATTAGATCTTGCTTGACTCGCGGGAAGTCATCACACTGTAGGCAGTTTCTATCAGTTTACGTTGGAGAATAATAAACAGAAAACTAAACACACTTCCGTAAAATACCATTTTTATTAAATTCATAAAAGATTTAGTATCAAACTTGCTTTTGCTCGTTTGATGTCAAATCATTAACTCGTTTAATAAAAATGGTATTACACGGAAGGTCGTTTAGCATCCTCTATTTATGCATCTATAAGTCGAAGACGTTAAACATAGCTGCTATAACAGTCTTGTTAAATATCAGTGCATTCTCAGTGAATATGTTTTTAAAGTGAGTGGGGGAGTGAACAGGGGTCAATGCTTCTTTGACTGCGTACGGTTTTACGCCGTTTTTAGCAATATTCCAGCAAAATCATGGCAGTTGACACCAGATATGGGCTTCACACATTGTACCCATGTGGGGAATCGGACCCGGGCCGTCGGCGTGACAAGCGAACGCATTAACCACTAGGCTACCCCACCGCCCTTCTGCTTATTTGAATAGTATTCCAGTTATATCACAGCATGATAGCGTAATGCAGTTCGAAATCCTGACGTGATACAGTCACCACTTTGGTGAATCCACAAGCACAGTTACAGTAGTTATAAGCCCAGTAATTCAAACCCATGGCCATTTGTTTCAGTGTTTGCCTTTAGAGACAACATCACTGGAATAATTTGAGCACAGATTCAGCTTCGTAGACAAGGACAATTTTACTGATTACAAGGGATGGATAAATATGTCACAAGCTCATGAAATTTCAAGGTGCAGAACAATTCAACTCGTTAAACAAGATAATAATGACAATAAATCAAATGCATCAATTTAACAAAGATGACTGTCAAAACTAGGAAAACTGTCAAAATCAAACACCACTTGTACTTTCAACACACATAATCAAACCCCTGAATATCATGGACAGATTTTCCAGTTTTAACAGTGATATTAGAAGGAAATATTGTAAGAACCACAAAGCGAAAACAGATTTCAGTTACTTTTTTCAATAAAACTTCTGTTTAAATTGTTCTCCCTTCTGTTGTCAAAAATGTTTTGCATAAACATCTGTAAACAATATATGCAACTTATTTTACTCAACTGGTCTTGCTCACAGATTTTCCTGACTGAAAAGCTACGTAAACAACAAACCCTGACAAATGGTACCATTAGTGAGCGAGCGAGTTTAGTTTTACGCCGCTTTTAGCAATATTTCAGCAATATCACAGTGGGGAACACCAGAAATGGGCTTCACACATTGTCCCATGTGGGGAAACAAAGCCGGGTCTTTGACATGACGAGCGAACGCTCAACTGCCCAAGCGGTACCATTAAAGGTGAGAGTTTACTAAGCACAATGGTAATAGGCACAAGCCAGGAAAAGATTACAACTTTCGTTTTCCAAATTTATCGAATTTCAATTTTCCCCCTCTTATTTTTAATCATTAATATCTGTGAACAAATCCTTATATTTAACTCACTCATTTAGCTTGTCTAAACAATAACAAAAATAATAGTACTGATAGGAACTTGTATAAGTGAAGCCAGGGGAGAAGTGTTCAATAGAAAGCTTGATGGAAGAGATAGGTCTTGGGAACAGTTCTAGGTAGAATGAGTACGTCAGTTTAGTTTTACGCCGAACTCAGCAATATTCCAGCTATATGGTAGTGGTCTGTAAATAATCGAGTCTGGACCAGACAATCCAGTGATCAACAGCATGATCAATATTGAGCATTGATCTACGCAACTGGGATACGATGACATGTGTCAACCAAGTCAGTGAGCCTGACCACCCGATCCCGTTAGTCGCCTCTCACAACAAGCATGGGTTGCTGAACATCAACTCTAACCCGCATCTTCACAGGTTTCTAAAAGTGGAATAGATTGGAGAAGTACACACTTCAAAGGGAAAACCGTTCCATTGACAGGACGCTGTGAAGGAGAAGCATCTCTGTCCATAGCTAATGAGTCTCAATTTTGGTACAAGGAACAGATAGTGATTGAGTGAGTAGTTTTACACCACTTTTAGCAATATTCCAGCATTATCATGGCAGGGGACAACAGAAATGGGCTTCATACATTCTACCCATGAAGGGAATCAATCCCGGTCTTTAGTGTGATGAGTGAACGCTTTAACCACTAGGCTACCCCCACCACTGGATGCCGAAAAGAAGAGATCTGCATGGAAAGTAAAGCTAGAGAGGTTCAGACAAATATGGAAGAGCTGTTTGTGAATGGCACTTATAAGCAAAGCAGAGGAAACTAAAACAGATCCATTCCTGTACAGGAAGCCATTGAAGCTCCTTCAGGATGGGAGGTTTCAGCTGCCTTTCCTTGATGAAGATTGAAGTCAAATAATTGTTACAGAGCACTATTTCTGCTAATAACAGTCAATAACAGGGCCTGATTCAGTGCTTTGTTGCTTGCACTGGTGCAACCTAATATTATAAAGTGCAACCTAGTTATTAGTCTAACTTGCACCAGGTGCAACTCAATTTCTGAGTCGGTAAACTCTGAATAAAACATCTAAATAATTCAATAGCATATTTCTTACAGTACATATTGCAATAAAAGCAGTGCAACTGAAATTTGGCTGGTGTAACTAGGTTTATATCTCAGGTTGCACCTGGTGCAAGTAGGTTAACATCTCTTAAATCGAGCCCTGAATAATAAAATGCATTTGGGCTCATATTCAGAAAACAATCATTTGAGATAACAGAGATAATTGTTTCTCTGTTTTATAAACTCTTAAGCATGTTTGCAAATGTTGAGGATGATGAACAAATTATACCTATTTTTTAGTATTTCAAATATAGATAAAAGAACAGTCAAAATTGACCATTTTGTCAAATGGCATTAAGAACAAAACAGACAGAAATAAAGCACTATGCCCTGTTGGCACATATAGAAAGACTCTGCAAGAACACCCAGCTTCTTGAAGATGATCCTGAACCTGAAAATAACAAGCAACATTGAATCAGTCCGATTTATTTGACAAAACTGAAAAGGTTCTGTTTACAAACCCCACCATAAAGCTTCAAGTGTTACCAAAATCAAATTTGGTATAATGCCATTTTAAGTGTTATTTTAGCTATTTCATTGCTTGTCTCTTGAATATGGGAGGGCTGAGTGAGTGAGTGAGTTTAGTTTTACACCACACTCAGCAGTATTCCAGCTATATGGCGGCGGTCTGTAAATAATCAAGTCTGGACCAGACAATCTAGTGATCAACAACATGAGCATCGATCTACGCAATTGGGATATGATGGCATGTGTCAACCCAGTCCGCGAGCCTGACCACCCGATCCTATTAGTCGCCTCTTTAATGACCACCATGGGCTACTGAAGATCAATTATAACCCGGATCTTCAGGGGTGAATATGGGAGGAAAGGGATGCAGATGTACAAACAATGCAGTGATGAACCCAGGAGCGGTGGGGTAGCCTATAGCGGTGAAAACGTACCGATGAATTTCACTTTAAACAAAAAAGTAAATCAAATAAAGTGAAATTAAGATTGCGAATCCTCATAATTTTACCTGTTATTTCAAAATTTAGAATTCTTTAGAATTCCTATTCAACTTTATTGGTAAAGTTGTTTACTGACGATCACTGAGTTTCAAATCATTTAGCAATATTCCAGCAACATAATACGAAATGTATGCACATTAAATGAAACACCGAGAACAAGGACGGTTGGTCTAAGTTAACGTTCATCTCGTACCTCACGTGCATTTGTTTCACTGTTCCAACTACTGCGCTTACCCCCTTGTAATACAAACTAATATAAGCGATTTGAAACTATGATCGTTTGTTAAACAACTTTTTTCCTAAGTTGAATAAAAATCTAAGATTTAAATTTTCAATTGGCAAGGTAGAATTATGAGGATTCGCAATCTTAATTTCACTTTATTCGATTTCCATTTTTGTTTAAAGTGAAATTCACCGGTATGTTTCACTGCAGACTATAGTGATTTAAGCATTCTCTCATCACACTGAAGCCCCGGGTTCGATTCCCCAATGTATTAAGTCTATTTCTGTAATCCCCTGCCCTGATATTGCCATAATCTCGCTAAATGCAGCGTAAAACAAAACTAACTCACTCACTCACCAACATGTTCTGACAAAAAAACAACAACTTAACCTGGGAAAATCGAAAAGTTTAATGAAAAAAATCATCCCGGAGAAAAGGGGTACAACGGTGATACCCAGCAAGTTACTTTACCCATGATCACGTTTCGCCCAGATGTATCAAACTTTAACCCGATATGTCGAATTCCCATTTGTCTCTAACCTCAATAAGAGTTCCAAGAGCTTAACGACAAGTTCATAATTTTATTCCTATTAACATTGACCCCAAAAGGTAAGCTAAGTTATCCACCTTAAATGGTCACGTACACTAGGTTTGATTAAGTCATCATGTAACAGGCCTTTTCATACAGAGGGCCCTTGACCTTCAATGTTATCAAATCATCTGTGAGAAATGTTCACAGATGTTCATCAGGCATGAAGTCTCTACCATCTGTCATAAGCACATTATTGACCAAAGAACTGTGGCAGAGGCTCCCAAACTCAAATTCGAGCAAACTCATGGGGCTACATAATGAACACTGACATTTTCATTTATTCATAGTAAGTGAGTATGGTTCTACGTCACTTTTAGCAATATTCCAGCAATATCACACCGGGGGACACCAGAAATGGGCTTCACACATTGTACCCATATGGGGATTCGAACCCGGGTCTTGAGCGTGACAGGCCAACGTTTTAACTCTCTAGGCTACCCTTCCCACCAACATTCATTCATGACAAGCAGTGAACACATTGTGCCACATATACAGAAGATCTTCTCACCTGTATCATTTGAGGATGACTGCAGGTACTAGGTTGTATCAGGTGCTCTCCACTGCTACTCTCCCCACAGAGATCTCACCTTCCTGTGATGAAAACGGAACTCTAAATATTTCCACTGTGCAAGTTTACATTTCTCAAATCCCACAGATTTTGTGAACCAGTTCTATTGTCAAAGGATATATGACTGGGAAGGAAACGGTTCTAACATTCTTAAGTGGTATTTGACAGAAAATATGATTAATCAATGCACCGTGGAAGACAATGGAACAATGCTTTGATCTGAAATGTTTACTGACATTACATCTGTTTCACATGTTAATCTTACTTTCATATAACAATACTGTTTTGACTGTAACAGAATTTCAAAATATAATCCTGATTCATCGTCATCTCTCAAATGTTCACATTTCACTTTCTTTTTTGAACTTTGTATATTCAGCCTTACTTTGAACATAATTCCTGAGTTTGAGACATTGCCTTCTGTCGCAGATACCACAGATGTGTCGGGATTATCTGGAATTAAATGCAAAAGAATATCCAAACAGTTGGAATAAAAACAACACCATCGCACACATGGGTGCCATCACATTGTCAATTATATCTTAGATATACTCTTTTGGAGATTTTCTTTTACAGATATGTGGAACATTTGGTAGCTCAGAAATGTGAAATATTATTTAATCATTATTATTTTTTCCAACTTATTTTCTATTTTTTAGGTCAGCAGTTTCAAAAAGAAGCCCAAAAAAGTTATTGGTACATGTGCACATACCCTTGATGTACACACATGGGAAATAAAACCGGGGTCTTGGTGTGATGAGCGAACACATTAACCACTAGGCCTGCCTCAACAGTTTGGTGAGAACAAGAAAGCAAGACAAATTACACACACGTGTAAGTTACATACATGATGCTGGGACAAGACTTCCGACAACTAGGGGTGGGTATTGCAGAGAATTTTTACATATCGCAACCATGCTTGCGATTTAACATTACATCGCAATATGTATTATGATATATTGCATGAAGTATTTTTAAACAAAAAACTACTTATAATCGAGTTAATGCTTGATTTATAGAGCAAAAACACAGCAAAATCACTATGCTTGATTAAGCTTTAATAACAACTTTTCATCATGATAAAATAGAAATGTGAATAATATTTGGCACAAATGAAACAAGGAAATATCCGAAGATTTCCTCGAGTGTTACTTAAGTTTTCCTAATGCAAGTCAAAATACCGGTTTTCGATCAGCGTATCGCAATACGTATCGTTTTCATGTCTGAACCGGTAAATAAAGGTAAACCGGTTATATTGCGCAGCCCTACCGACAACCCCACTAGTTTATTATAAGTTGTTCACTGGTCACGAGGGGGGCATGGGTTGATGTACCCTCGATGTTTGTTTATGTTCCCTGAGCCCGGCGGGTTGATGTACCCTCGATGTTTGTTTATGTTCCCTGAGCCCGAAGGGTACCTCAACCCATGGGCTCCGAGGGACCAGTGAACAACGTATTTATCTTACCGAACACCTTAATGTTAATTTTGAATTGCTTGAAGCATGGGTACAAATCTTTTTGTAACCATCGCTAGATTTTGCTGACAAGAAAAACTGATTTATAGTTATCTCCCTTCCATAGATTTGCATTCGCAAAATACACGGCATTTCCAAGATATCATCATGATTCCATTCAGTGTTATCTTTTGAGATAAAGAATTACTACCAAGCTACCAAATGAGTTGCCATTGACAGCAGGGTACATTGAAGAGTTACTCGCTTGTAAGCGGGGTACATTGAAAATAATAGAAGAGCGCTCAGCCAATCAGAAAGCGACATTTATGTGTGAGATAAGATAAATCTGAATGTTACTTGAAAAATGTACTGAGGAGTTGACAGTAACAAGATTTAGCTCACCTGGACTGTGCAGCAGGACGTTCTGTTGTACACTGTTGGCTCCTGTTGGACGTGCAGAAACACTGTTGGCTGCTGGGACTACAGACTTCGGGGCTGTACTGGACTTGTTTGTCAGCAAATCTACGCCATTTAGAGACATGTCATTATACAGGTAGTAATCTTTGTCTCCGTCATTTCATATGTAGAAGCCTAAGGTCTGTAAAGTGACTGGTCGTCAAAGTAATTGAGATCAGACAACCATGAGGTTGATATTGTACTCTGAGGATACCAGGGATTCGGAAAGGCAGGGACATGGGCCACTTTGCACATTAGAATAAAAAATGGCCCATTAACATTTTGAAGTTTACTATTGATACAAGGGCAGTGGCTCATTCTAAATTCAGAAAATGGCTAATAATCCTGAAAATGGCCCATTGTCAAAGTTCTCTATCCCAATCCCTGGGATACAATTATCAATACAATCTCTCCAGGTAGGCATTGAACTACACAATTATCAATACAATCTCTCCAGGTAGGCTTTGAACTAAAAATATCTGTCTGTGTAACGCCACTATCAGCAATAATCCAGCCACATGACACTGTCTAGACCACATAACCCAGAGACTGACATTACAAGAACTGATCTATGGAATTGGCATGAGATGACATACATCAATCACAGCACCAATGTAACAGTCTGATCCTCATACTAGCTTTATTTTTTTTACCTGTGAAGATCCAGGTTAGAATTGATCTTCAGCAATCCATGCTTGTTGTAATAGGTGACTAACGGGATCGGGTGGTCAGGCTCGCTGACTTGGTTGACACGTCATTGTATCCCAATTTTGCGTAGATTGATGCTCATGCTGGTAATCACTTGATTGTCTGGTCCAGACTCAATTATTTACAGACCGCCTCCATATAGCTGGAATATTGCTGAATGCAGCTTTAAACAACAAACCAAACCATAAACCAAACTGGCTTTATCAGTTGTAACTGTTCTGACTAAATGTCCTTCACTCTTTTTTCTTTTTCAATCAATCATTTGCCCAATTGGGCTAGAAATATTGCCTTATTGGACAAGAATTATTGCCCGATTGACCTGGAAACAAAGCAACAGGATTTGTAGAAACAAGCAGAGCAACAATAGCCAGTAGCTCAGGTTAATTTCCTGGAGTGAGTGAGTATGGTTTTATGTGTTTCAGCAATATTTCAGCAATATCACGGCGGGGAACACCAGATATGGTAATTTCCTGGAATATCACATTAGATCAGATGATCTGAATGTAATTGCTATGTGGCCGAGAGTAAGCATTATCACCTTGATCACAATCACCTTCAGAATACTGGGACAGGGTGACGGCCCGACTAGTCAACTATTTGCATCTCCAGTTAAAAAACATGCAGGGATACAGCCTAGCCTGAGACATTAACTTGCCTGGATTGTGATATTGCACAAAGGCTCCTTTGCACATGGTATACTTTTAATAAGTGACAAATTGGTGAGGTGAAATGGGGTTTAACATCATACTTAAGAATATTTCGCTCATATGACGACGTGCATGCGCATGTATGTGCGGCTGCTTGTACTAGTCCAGACTTAAGCTGGTTTTATAGTGCTAGCTCACTGAGATACCATGCCGCAGTGAAGCATGAATACCCCACTCAGACACATTATACTGACTCCGAGCCGACCAGTCCTTGTTGTACCCATTAATGCCGAGCGCCAGGCAGGGACCAACAAATACCATATTTTAACGTCTTTTGGTATGACGTGGCCAGGGATCGAACCCGCAAACTTCCACTCTCCGGGCGGACGCTATACCACTACACCACGGAGGCAGCTAAGTGACAAATTGACTTGTCTAGCTGGCGAGTGACAAGTGGTATCTCTGCTGAGTACTGTGAGAGATTATCATACTTGTCATACACTGCCATCAACCGATCTCAAGTATTTCATTTATCTTAACTCTTACAACAGGCTTGGAGTGAGTGAATGGGAGAGAGAATGAATGTTATTTTTCTTGCAGCCATATTCCATCAACGTGAGGAAATTGAATGTTGGCATTCAGCATGATGAGAGAATACCTTAGCTACAAAGCTATCCCCATCAGTCAGCTTGAGTGAGTGAGTGAGTTTAGTTTTACGCCACTTTTAGCAGTATTCCAGCAATATCACGGCGTGAACACCAGAAATGGGCTTCACACATTGTACCCATCGCGGGAATCAAACCCGGGTTTTCGCGACGATCTAGCTTAACGCTTTAACCACTAGGCTACCCCACCGCCCCTCAGTCAGCATGAGATTATGAGAGCCTGTTAGACATGATTATCTAGCATTCCTTCTGGGAATCAAATCTAGACTTCTCCTCCATAATAATAGCTGTGTCACTGACCTCTGATGGCTGGTGTTGGCAGCCCCCTCCCGATGCCCATGTTGAAGATATTGCCGGTACCAAGGCCCACTGGCTGAGCATCCACTGCTGAAAACAGAGAAGGCATGTAAACCGGACATAAAACAAACAGCATCTTAGCTCAATCATTCACCTGATTCAAACCATTGTCAGTGTGGTGTGTGATACTAAGGAATTCCTGTCTACACTGTATATAATGTCAGAAGTACGTTGTTATTGTGATCACCATGGAGACTTACACCCCTCCCTCTGCCCAAACTTACCAAGGAAACAGAGAAACAGACCCTTGCAATGCCTACCACTGACACATCGACACATCGACCTGACTTGCCCCTTCCTGGGCCCAGGCCCGCTATGGACAGAGAGTAACACACTGACCTTACTTGCCCCTCCCCCAGCCCAGGCCCACCATGGACAGTAACACACTGACCTGACTTGCCCCTTCCCCGGCCCAGCCCGCCATGGACAGGGAGTAACACACCGACCTGACTTGCCCCTTCCCCAGCCCAGCCCACCATGGACAGAGAGTACACACTGACCTGACTTGCCCCTCCCACGGCCCAGGCCCGCCATGGACAGGGAGTAACACACCGACCTGGCTTGTCCCTTCCTGGGCTCAGCCCACCATGGACAGAGAGTAACACACCGACCTGACTTGCCCCTCCCACGGCCTATGCTACCATGGACAGGGAGTAACACACCGACCTGACTTGCCCCTTCCACGGCCCAGGCTACCATGGACAGGGAGTAACACACTGACTTGACTTGCCCCTTCCTGGGCCCAACCCACCATGGACAGAGAGTAAAACACTGACCTGACTTGCCCCTCCCACGGCCCAGGCCCGCCATGGACAGAGAGTAGGCAAACACATTGGCAGGATGTTGTATGGGCTGTTGATGTTCTGATAGCTTGGAGGCCTTTGAGGATTCTTGTGGAAGCCGTAGTTTGCCTGATGGATTCTTACCCGCAAGCGGCTTCTTGACAGTCCTAAACATTAGACATAACTAAATACTTTTGTTCGTATCTGCTTAGTGAGAAGGCCAAATAAAACATAGTTCACATGTCAGTACTGTCTAACATGCAAGTGACTTAATTATCTAACTAGCAAAAACTTGGAATTACATGCAAAAACAGAGGCATCACCCGCTCAATATTTTCCATTAAGCCCGAAAAATGTCTTGTAAGAAACATGTTGCACAAACCATTCTGGCTTTGTATCCGATGACAGTTGACCTCACACAAACTCAATGCAGAAACTGGACAGACAACATCTGTCGCTACTTCAATAACTAAGTGATAAAGATATTCGCTTAATTAAAGATCACTTCTGGTTTAGTAAAACATGCACAATGCAGAACAACTGAAAGTCACATGCTTCAACTACCATAATAGCATTGAGCTGTTTGAGATGTCTACTTCATAGTGCTAACCACTCTCCCTATCTGAATTAACATTTGTCAGCTGTCAGTGTACTTACTGTCCTTCAAATTCGGATTTGAGATTCTCATAATATTGACGCTTTTGTGACTGGGCATATCTGTGGAAAAAGAATGAGTCTGTAAGTGTTTCAGATCTCATAGATAAATGCATGAATAAATCTAATACATTCCTGTCAGCTAATATAAGACACAATGGCTGGGATCATTCATACAACATTCAGTTTATATTGTACTAAAAAGCAAGGTTTGATGGCTAAAACTAAAAGATCACAGCTTTATTACTTATGAAATGCACCATTTACTTAACACAGAAAGGGCAGAGTAACATTTTCAATATGGCCACTGCAGTAGACATGTTTAGGAATAAGAGTGTATGTTCAGTTTAGTTTGACATCGCTTTTAGCAATATTCCAGTAATATCACAGCAGGGAACACAGAAAGGGCAGATTAACCTTTTTTAATATGGCCACTGCAGTAGCCATGTTTAGGAATAAGAGTGTATGTTCAGTTTAGTTTGACATCGCTTTTAGCAATATTCCAGTAATATCACAGCAGGGGACACAGAAAGGGCAGATTAACCTTTTTTAATATGGCCACTGCAGTAGCCATGTTTAGGAATAAGAGTGTATGTTCAGTTTAGTTTGACATCGCTTTTAGCAATATTCCAGTAATATCACAGCAGGGGACTCCAATAATGGGCTTCATACATTCAACATTGGGGAATCAAACCCTGGTCTTTGGCGTGATGAGCTAACACGTTAACCACTAGGCTACCCCAACACCCATTAAGGGATACAAACCGTCTGAGCGCTTTTGAGTGACACGGTATCTTGGCCCATGCATACACAGCATCAGGACCTGGGGCTCCTTTCACGAAGCAACCTTTACTAAGGTTGACCTTAACTCCCATTCTTTAACATTGCACTAGGGTTACCATAGTGACTTACGATCACCTTAGTGCTTTGTGAAAGGAGGCTCTGTATGCTGAACAGTAATAACATTAACAACCAGAGCTCACTCGACAACTTGAAATATTCAACAGGTTGGAGTTTCCCCCACTGGGCACACAGAAACCAATGATTATGGGTTTGAATCCTGTTTCATCATTCTAGGTATGATGGGACCATATTCATGGATTTCACCAAAGTGAGTGAGTATGGTTTTATACGCCGCTTTTATCAATATTTCAGCAATATCATTGCAAAAGACACCAGAAATGGGCTTCATACATTGTACCCATGTGAAGAAATTAAACCTGTGCCTTCGGCATGCTGAGCACGAGCATACACTTTGATCCCCATAAATGTCTGAGACTTGCATCATTTAATGACTTCCTCCTACATTAAGCTGACAGACAGGGATGTATCATAACTGGAGCATTTGATCTGGAATACTTTATCAATACCTACTTACTGATATTACTTAAATGCAGCGTTTAAAATTCCCGCCTCCCTGACCATCCGGAACGGTCTATTTTCATCTCGCACGGTCAAATTTCATAAGTAGCCTGTCCGGTGGTCTGGTAGATGTTTATACCCCTAACAGTAAATATTTCATAATATCAGACAGGTTCTCTCGTCGTCAGTTTGAGGTGTTTACGGTATTATGATAAATATGTTAAACTATTTACGATTGGACAGTTCATTCTACAATAACCAATCACAACACATGCACTTTCAGTTTCCCTAAACTCGGTATTCAATAACCTGATTTTTTTTTGGTTTTCATTGTTGAAAACCGGACAGGCAAGTTGTATCTGGACTGGTAATTTTTCAAAGTTGCCAGTCCGGGTGTCTGGCTTGGAATTTTGGGAGTTTTAAACACTGTTAAATGCCAGCATCATTAACTTCCACCTTGATCAACAATATCTTTTCCAAGTCATAGATTGGTTGGTTGCTGTTTAAGGCCGCACTCAGCACTATTCCAGCTATATAGCAGTGGGCTGTAAATAATCGAGTCAGGACCAGACAATCCAGTTATCAACAGCATGAGCATCGATCTACACAATTGGGATATGATGACATGTGTCAACCAAGTCAGCAAGCCTGACCAGCCAATCCCTTTTCACATACAGGAGTGCTGCAAATTGAGTCTTTAGATGTCAGCAGTATCAACTCTAATGTAAACTAACATCAGTATACTTACCCTGAGAGGTTGATAAACCTAAACTTGTCAAAGAACTCAGGTTCCACTCCAATTCTTGGACAGGAATTCATCTCTATGAAAATAGATACAGTGAGATTATAGAAAACTTCCTTCAGTGTAACCAATGAAGATCTTGGTTAGATTTTGTCTTCAGCAAAGCATGATGGCCAGGCTCCCTGAATTGGTTCATACAATTGTTCCCATTGCGCAGATCAATCATCATGATGTCGATCACTGGATTGTCTGGAGTCAGTTATTTACAGACCGCCAATATGTTGCTGATGTGAGGCACTTAACAAATTCTTTCATTGCAGTGAGTGAGCGAGTTTGGTCTTACGCCACTTTGAGCAATATTCCAGCAATATCACGAAGTGGGATACTAGAACTGGGTTTCACAAATTGTACCCATGTGGGTAATCGAACCCGGGTCTTCAGCGTGACGAGCCAACGCTTTAACCATTAGGCTACCCCCAACGTCTCTCTTTCATTATAAGTTCAGTTATAGAAGCCTATACTGTACCCATATCCCAGCTCTCGTCACAGGCCATATGTTTGGTGTAGGGCGGTACGTCCGTGCAACCCTTGAAGAACGTCCCCTCTTCATTCATCTTGCTCTTCTCTGTAACAGTGGTCAAGTTGATAGTATGACTATCATGATAAACTCCCGGTATCTACTGTATTGTATATTTTAGGCCAGATATTATAGCTTAGATTCAGATTTTTATACAAAGCAGAAGTATGCTTCCAGTGCACATAAACACGCAGAATGGATGCAGCAAAAGGTTCATATTGCTTCCCAAAGAATGGACATAGGTATTTATTTATTTGGCCAAAATCTGTAACAGTTAGGGGTGAAACGGTATGCTCTTACCACAGTATGGTATGTATTGCGGTACAAGGCCTTTCGGTTTGGTCTGTTTCGTTTTGGTATGTGAGATATAAAATAGCGACCATCCAGCAAAGAAATGCATAGCTTTTGACAAAATGATTTGATTTCCAGACATTTTAGAAACGGTTTAAAAAGGTTAATAAATTGATGGTACGATAACCGAAAATACCAAATCTTTAGATTGCATTACGTTATAGTATACCGGTTCTACTTATACAGCGGTATATCGTTACTGTTCTACTAAAACAGCTACATCAGAAATAATCTGCCAAGAAAAGGAGCCTGTGTTCTAGACGTGACCAGCTTTTGGTGTTTTTTTCCATGTTTTTCAAATTTAGGGTTGATAGAAACTGTGCCCATCAATGAAAAAAACACTGGAAATGATGATTAGGAACTTAGAAAGAGCACAGTGCTGACAGACAAAGGACCATAAATGGCCAGAAGATATAAAGATCATAGTTTGCAGAGCCTGGTATGGTAACAAAAACTCTAGGCTCTGCAGGGATTCTGGGTTCCAATTGCTGCCTAGCAACCAATGAAGGTTATGAGAGGTGACCAGGTGGTCAGGAACGGTTGGCCATCGTACCCACCCAAAAAAGGATGGTGAGCCCAATCCTCAAATGAACAGAATGAACATGCCTTATAAAATTATGAATTCATCATCAGCAATAACGGTTCTGATTCGTGCAAGATCTGGTGCCAACACACTCACCATAAGCAATGTCTTTCTCCAGGACGGCTCGGTCACTGCAAGTGGCCATGTGGTATCGTAGTTCTGGCTTCGGCATCTCATGCTTAGCGTTGAACGGACACACCGAAAACTCTGATCCAGGCCAATTCTGAAACAATGCCATCATTCGTCAAAGGTTGTTGGCAATCCTTAATATTGCTGAGTGAGTGAGTGAGTGAGTGAGTGAGTGAGTGAGTGAGTGAGTGAGTGAGTGAGTGAGTGAGTGAGTGAGTGAGTGAGTGAGTGAGTGAGTGAGTGAGTGAGTGAGTGAGTGAGAGTGAGTGAGTGAGTGAGTGAGTGAGTGAGTGAGTGAGTGAGTGAGTGAGTGAGTGAGTGAGTGAGTGAGTTTAGTTTTACTCGATACTCAGCAATAATCCAGCTATATGGAAGCGGTCTGTAAATAATCGAGTCTGCACCAGACAATCCAGTGATCAATACTGTTAAGCATCAGTCCAATCGAGCATTGAGGTCCAAAATAAATGAGTAGATCCAAGTATTCAGCCATCATTATTTTAAGCTGCCCTTTTGGTTTCAGAGGCTAACAGTCTTCATGACAAAACAAAGATGGTTGATTGTTTGCTGTTTAACCAGCACTCAGCAATATTCCAGCTATTTGGCGACAGTCTGTAAATAATTGAGCCTGGACCAGGCAATCCAGTGATCAAGCATCATCAGCATCGATCTACACAACTGGGATACAATGACACACGTCAATCGTGTCAGCAAGTCTGACAACCCAATCATATAAGGGAAATATGTGATTGAAACAGGGTATAACTATATAAGTTGCTTCCTCAAAATTCTATAACATGGACACACCAAATTAATATCAGGTGGAATTCATTTTCTATAATATTCATGTTACATTTAGAACAAAGAAGTTCAAAATAAGCCACGATCTACACAACTGACACATGTCAACCAAATCAGCGAGTCTGACAACTCGATCCTGTCCCATCTCACAACAAGCATGGGTTGCTGGAGACCAATTCTAACCCCTAACCTTCACGTGTCTACAAAACAAAGAACAATATGGAAGTTGGAACCATCCACCAAACACAGCTAACTTAAGGAAATTCACCTATGTAGATGACGTTTTAGACGAAAATGGTCTACCTCGTGTGCATATTTCAAAATTCAGTTATTAAATGAAACGATAACATTACTGACTTTCCACAATCCTTCAGCCAACACAGGGTTGAAAGATATAACACTGAAGATATATTGAGACATTTACCTTACAAGAGAAAAGGTTCATTGATGTTAAACACTATTAGGCCAGACCAATTTCATTTCTTGTTTTATGGATTTTTGTCCTCACAAAACCTAAAGGCAGGAGGGGAAAAAAAATAAAAATAAAAATCACCAGTCAAAGTAATACACATTTTAAATACTAAAAGTATTTTACTTTTGGTAATTTATGAAGTCTATATGGGGGGAAAAAAAACAATCTAAAAATATTTTCTTGCACATTTACATTTTTGGCCAATAAAAATATTTTAAAATTTCTTTTTACTTTTAGAGAGGGAAATTTTTTTTTTTTCTTATTCCTTGAAAAAATACGACCAGCGGATCCGTAAAACAACAAATAAAATTGGTCTGGATCTTGCTGAATATATTGGGACCTATAATATATTCAGCAAGGGGCTTTACAAAAATCTGGAATGTCAACATCAGTCTTTGTGTACAAGTTAAGATGCACAAGTATGGAAAATGATATCTCACAGATCATAACCTGTAAGCACATCAAATGTTGTAGGTCATGAAATATTTAGAATGTGAAACCAAAATGTTCAGTCCTTGACCAACAATGGCCTTTAGGCTGGAAAATATTCTTCACCATTCTCCATTATGAATTGCTTTCACTCATATATTTGGACTATTTGACCACGTTCCCACCTTGCGGCACTTCATGAGGTGATACTGGAATCTCTTCGCTCGCACCATGTGGACCTTGTCATAGGGACACTCAAACAGTTCTTCCGGATCTGGCACGACCAACTCAGACATGGCTCAATCACAACTGAAACAGGAGAAAACCTTTTTTAAAAAAATGAACATCACAGAGCTACAGATAACTTGTGTTATCGCTTGTGTTCATCTCAATTGGGTATCCTAATTTTCCTTTGAGTAACCAAATAAATTGTACTCATCTCACTCATGGATAACAACTTCTGGGTTTATTTTTCCACGTTGCTGGGCTAGTTCTTGCCCCTTCTTCAGGTGAATAATGTTCCTGAAAAAGGGGCAACAACTAGCCCAGAAACGTTATGAAAAATAAATCAAGAAGTTGTTATCCATAAGATATGTCTTGTATTACTACACCATCTTCTAAATGCATTTGAAGAATTTCACTCAAACTCATTTGGGTATTTTGCGATTTTCTATTAATTCTAAAAATATGATTAAGTTTAAATGTTAGTGTTTGTAATTTATATTTGATCTGTAATATCAGAAACGATAAGAAAGACTGCAAGTTGCCAAATGTGCTGAAATAGAACCTCTCAATATACCTCAGTTATTTTATCTATCCGCCGGTACGCGAGCTAAGATTTGACATTTTTGTGTGTATGCATGTAAGATCACATTTATTGAGTATTTACAAAAATTCAAGCGTACTTGTACGCAATAGACTTAATAGGAATTGAGTTTTCACATAAATATTTGCGTAATTTACGCAGATACGCAGCTTATCTGTACCTCTGACATCAGATTCAGGACAAGATAGAAGTGAATGAATGAGTAGTTTTACGCCGCACTCAGCAATATTCCAACCATATGGCAGCGATCTGTGAATAATCGAGTCTCGACCAGACAATTCAGTGATAAACAGCATGAGCATCGACCTACGCAATTGGGATACGATGACATGAGTCAATCAAGTCAGCGAGTCTGACCCCCCTATCATGAATGTCGCCTGTTACAATAAGCGTGGGTTAGTGTTGGGAATTGGTTAAAATTTCATAATTCATGATTGGTTCATTACAACCGATCAATCATCGGAAATAATTGGTTAGCATCATTTTTCAGATTTTACTATTCAGGTTGTTTTTGCAAATAAGTATAACATGATGCAACTTGCTACTTTAAAGTGATGACTAATATGTTATCATGAACATAAACTTCCCAGAGTCTTCAAGAAATATTGTGTCATGACTTTTCACTTAATGAAGTGAGTATTATAACAATTAAACACGTTTTCAGGCCCTGACAACTTTGAAGATATGTTCCCTCGTCAAGTGTTTCAAAGAATAAACCAGTAGTTCCAAAATCATTTTTGTTCGACTATGAGAAAATGTGATCGATTGCTTGGTCATTTGGTCACTGCGACCAATCTTCGATTATTTCAATTTATTGGAACACCAGTAGCATGGGTTACTGAAGACCAAATCTAACCCGGATCGTCACGGGTCGACAGGATAGAAGAATGTGAATGGCGATCTAATTGCAAAGCCTTGGGCCTCTCTGAACCTCAGTGCACAGGCAAATTGTAGCGCAAATAGGGTTGCGCAACAAAGAGAAAATGACCAGTCTTCCCATATGCGAGCAAAGGTTGGCAATGTGCTTCCGTCGCTTCGGTTCGAAAAATATTTTTAATATCAAAATAAAATATCGCCATCATCAAAGGTAGACACCCATGTCCTCACAGAGCTGTGCTCTCAGATTTCCAACCTCATATTTAATAATTACTCACGTACAATATATTTAATTCAACATTTTAAGCGCAAATTGTGGCATGTCAAATCGTCTTCGCCTCCATCACCCCTGCCAGCTTCAGGTTCAACAGAATGAAGGAACAAGAATAAGCAAAAATAAAACACAAATATCATATTGTATAATTTTACCGTTAAACTGTTGGGGATATTTTTCTTATCTGCCGTCGTTATTGTTAGAATTTTTGTAACATTTATTCTACAGAAACAGTTCTGGCGTAACGGGTAAATGAAAGTATATTTAAATTTAACTCCCCTGATCCTTCACTCCGTTGAACCGGAAGCTGGCAGGGGTAATGGAGGCGAAGAACGGTTTGACATGCCACGAGTGGCACTTAAAATGTTGAATTAAATATATTGTATGTGAGTAATTATTAAATATGAGGTTGGAAATCTGAGAGCACAACTCTGTGAGGACCATCGGTCATTCTGATAGAGAAAGTCGACATGATGGCGACAAGCTTGATTAAATAAACAATTACACATTGATAAATGTGTTATAAGTTTGTACTTTCCTTCTAAAAAAAATGTACAAAGCAAAAATAGTCCTACCTACCTACCCTAAATTTTAAAGAGCTGTAATCAGAACCACATTATTTTTTTTATTTGGCCTAACTGTTTGCTAGACAGTAGTGTTAAGGTTTAGGGCTTGGCACAGAGCTTACCTTAGTTCGGTGTAATAATCTGAATAAATTTGAAACACATTTCATCCCATCAGGAGTGAGTGAGTGAGCTAGTGAGTTTAGTTTTACGCCGCACTCAGCAATATCCATGCTATATGGCGGCGGTCTGTAAATAATTGAGTCTGGACCAGACAATCCAGTGATCAACATATTGGACATCGATCTGCGCAATTGGGAACCGATGATATGTGTCAACCAACGTCCCATCAGGATGGGCAGTCAGACGTAAGGTCGACAAGAGTCATCGCCTCGGATGTGAGGAAATCAACATTAATGTACCCCATAGCATCACTTGACTGGTTGCTAATGGTTGATAAATAATAGCGGGCGTGGCCTAAGACAAAGATGACTGGGAGGGTATGACCTCCATCACATACCTGTGTGCACAATGGTTTGTTTTCATTTTTCAATATTTATACATGTCAAAGAGGTGCTATTCACTGCTAATAGCAAGCGCTCATCAACTGTAATGGTCCCCAGTAGGAATGTGAAAGTGTGCCTGGTAAAATGTACTAATCCTTTTCATTTGTCTGGTGTAACCATTGAATCTGTTCAGCACAGGGTTTGGGTGAGGGTTAGGGTGTAACTATAGAATCTGTTCGCCCCTATGGTTAGGAAAGGTTTTATATTCAATACAGGTTTGTTTATTTTTTGGTTTGTTTGGGGGAGTTAACGGATTCATAAACCTACAGACTCATGCCAGTTATATTCGGACACTCGACGTAATTTCTGTAGACTTACATGTTATTTCAGTGAAGCATAAATAATTTTCATGAAGTGAGTTTAGGATGGATCTTTTTAAAATTTGACAGGCAAATGTGAAATCATTTCTGCTCTGCGCACATAATTTCTGTTCAATTTTCCGACCATTTAACTAATGACATCACATTTATCATCTTACGTATGGTTCCACAATCCCATAGACCGCCATGTTAATGGAGTTCACAGCACTGTACATATGTTGATTAAATTGTTGCCATTCGATAAATAAGCAACGGAAAATGAAACAGAAATTATGCAATTGTAGGTAAGATGATTCCTCACAAATGTGCAAAATTCGACTTGGATCTTACGAAAATTAAATTCATAAAAATTATTTATGCTACACAAAATAAACATGTAAGTATATGGAAATTACGTCAAGTGGCGCAATATCTAACGGGAACGGGTCTGTAGTTTTAGAATAGCTATGCAACTCTGTTTCCCAAAGGAGTCGCCTGTATGTAACTTCAGTTCAGGGGAATTACAAAACTTGACGAAAACGACCAGCGGCAGAGTAAAAAGCATCTCTGCTACCTTCACACACGTGTCACTTTCACAGACCGTTGTTACAGTGGGCTTTTTGAAATGGATCATTGATGAATTCCAACCACCAGCTGAGAACGCCTGATCAACAAGTATAAAACCTGTCCTTGTTGACTGGTCCGTGTCTGACGCTTATCTTAAAACTACATATCCCATTCAATGCACTTTCAAAAACAAACTTAGACAGAACCCATGACCAATACAAGTATTAATGGCACCGTTTACATACCTTAATATAAGACACAGATGACACATGAACTCGTGCTTCCTGGAAGCCAGCGCCGAAGAACAACAGGTCGCACTTTTTTGATTGGTTAATTAGCGCTTGGCGATTTCGATTGGATGATGTGTCACTGGGTCATTGTCCGCTGAGAGCCTTTTAGTTGTTTTTTTCCAAAACAGGTCAAAAGGGCCAAAGGCCAAAAGGGCCAAAACGGGAAAAGTCAAAAGGGCCAAAGAAAAGCCAAAAGGGCCAAGGGAAAGTCAAAAAGGGCCATAGATTGAAGTCAAAAGGGCCTAAGTTTTAGAAAATAGTAAGATTAGAAGAAATTCATTACATTTTGTTGCAGTAGTTACAATCCTAAACATCTCAGAGTGTCTCAGTGTTGTTTATTTAAACCTTCTCAGGGTGGTTATGTGTGTATTTCATGAGTATAGTCAACCATACAACTGTTTATTTAATGATTACATGAGGTTTTAACAGAGTCACTGGTGACAATTACACTAGTAGGTAATCTAAACAAGACTGTGTGAATGATTGACAATGTCTGTAGTGGTGGTGGAATTGGGTTTAACGTCGTTCTTGAGAATATTTCGCTCATATGACGACGTGCATGCGTGTGTATGTGTATGTAAGGCTGCTTGTACTAGCCTAGACTGAAGCTGGTTTTATAGTGCTAGCCCACTGAGATACCATGCCGCAGTGAAGCGTGAATGCCCCACTCAGACACATTATACTGACTCTGAGCCGACCAGTCCTTGTACCCATTAATGCCGAGCGCCAGGCAGGGACCAACAAGTAACATATTTTAACGTCTTTTGGTATGACGCGGTCGGGGATCGAACCCGCGACCTTCCGATCTCCGGGCGGACGCTCTAACCACTACACCACGGAGGCGGTGACAATGTCTGTAGTGAACTTGTGTGATGATGTGTGGAGTGATGATGCCTGTAGTGAACGTTAAAGATGTGTGAATTATTATTATTATAATCTATATATATGGCGCCGAGTTCCAGCTAGGCTGTTCATAGGCGTCTATTTGAACATTTGAACTACTTATGCAAAAACGAATTGGCATAAATAGTAGAGATCTTATAGTCTGATCATTTTCATTGTTCCTAAGATTGTAATTACTGTTGTCAAACACATTCCCTGGAACAAGATCACAAAGATAGTCGGGAACCATATGGTTTACCATGTTATAAAATAATGTTAATTTGGAAGTTTCTCTTCGTTTCGCTTAGGAGGTCTGGTTTGTCTCATTATATAGTACCTCTGACTGCACCGCATATTGTCTGTAAGGCATCTAGGTGAAAGTGTTAGTGATAAGGACTGTTCGTTTGTACAATTGTTCCAGAGATGGCAGCAATAATCAAATAAAGGTAATATGAAGGATTTATACATTGTTTCGATAGTTTTAAGTTACAGTCTGTATTTAAAACTACAAAGGCAGTTAATCACAGATTACGTCTTCTAGGAGAGGAGTGCATTTCACTTTTCTGTCTGCCTGTTTCATTGCAGTTTGTGTGCTAAAGCAACCCCACCCCCACCCTCATTAGACCCACCCATCCCCCAAAAGTATGATTCTCGCGTATTTACTATGGAGGAGCTGGGAGAAGTGAGGTGAGGTGAAATTGGGTTTAACGTCGTGCTTGAGCATATTTCGCTTATATGACGACGTGCATGCGTGTGTATGTGTATGTGCGGCTGGTTGTACTAGCCCAGACTGAAGCTGGTTTTATAGTGCTAGCTCACTGAGATACCATGCCGCAGTGAAGCATGAATACCCCACTCGGACACATTATACTGACTCCGAGCCGACCAGTCCTTGTTGTACCCATTAATGCCGAGCGCCAGGCAGGGACCAACAAGTACCATATTTTAACGTCTTTTGGTATGACGCGGTCGGGGATCGAACCCGCGACCTTCCAATCTCCGGGCGGACCCTCTAACCACTACACCACGGAGAGGAGCTAGGAGAGATGGAGAGAGTGCGGTTTTAATATGAACTTCACTTTACAGACGATCTGTGCATAACATGCGTCATTTCCCGGAAACTATTCCCAGGACATATCAGGATCTATTTGGGGAGTGAACGAGTGAGTATGGGTTTACGCTGCTTTTAGTAACATTACAGCAATACCATTATGGGAAACACCAGAAGTTGGCTGCACACGTCGTACCAATGTGAGAGAGAGAAAATGAGTGAGTTTAGTTTTACGCCGCTTTTAGCAATATTCCAGCAATATCAGGGTGGGGGATACCAGAAGTGGGCTTCACACATTGTACCCATGTGGGGAATTGAACCCGGGTCTTCGGCGTGACAAACCGACGCTGTAATCACTAAGCTACACCACCGCCCCACCAGTGTAAGAAATCGAACATTTCATTGTATGTGTTCAGTGGTAGCAGCGGATGCCCTGCACGCTCACTGAACCAATCACTGAAACCTTTATCATACACGGTTTACTCCCATAAGAACTACATGGATTAATTAGGGATTAATCATCTGAGTTGAAGCACCCCCACGGCATGTAATGAGCACAAGGGTGACCAGTAAGCATTACATGTTATGTGCAAATTAAATGTTAAGTTATATACAAATATCATAATTTAGGGAAATTTTGTGGAAATGCAGTGGACATGATCAACATAGTACCATATTTAATCTTTACTACTTATTTTTCATCTCTGTTGAACTTGTAATAAATATGTTGAATGAACATAACGTCTTGTCTGTTTGATTCTACTGGACTGATCCATTATAAGAAATAGGTATCAGCTTGTGGATTAGTTGTGCACTGAACCAGAAATGTTGTTGTTTTGAGCTAAGATCTAAGATCAGAGACCATATAATATATATTATATGGTCTCTGCTAAGATATGACGGTTTAAGTTTTGGAGGTTACCGTTTTCTGTTTGGCAAATCTATTAAGCAGACGCAGGTGACAGCATGTAGTTAATCTGTGCACTGGACCATAACATGTGTTGTTTTAAGCTGTAGTTCCTATGGGAGGACACCTCAAAAACACAATGCATTTAACTGTATATTACTATTCACGAAGAGTGAGTGAGTGAGTTTAGTTTTTGCGCCGCACTCAGCAATATTCCATCTGTATATTATATGGCGGCCTATTCAAGAATAAATGTAGTGGGCAATATATGTAACAGATGCATCGGTGGGTGCTCGTTCATATTAAATTCACGTAACACTTGGCTAGGTTCGTTCTATAATAATACGTCTAATATTTATTTCAATTATTTACACATTAAATGGTCTACGCCATGATATTAAGTCAAATTAAGGCTGTGATATGAAATATCATGTTTAGTGGTCATAATTAGGCTTGTAAACTACTATACTTACTAAAAGGGTTTTTTTGAAGAAAACAACACTTATTTGGGTTTCTTCTTTTATTTATTTTTCTTACCTAATGTGATTATCCGCTGATGCTATTTTAGGTCGATTAGGTGTCACCAAGGTGTCTAAATGGTTTGATTAGTGTCACCAAAGTGTCCAAATGGTTTGATAAGGTGTCGTCAAGGTGTCCAAATGGTTTAATTGCCACCACAGTGTCCAAATGGCTTAATTGTCACCAAGGTGTCCAAATGGTTTGATTGTCACCAAGGTGTCTAAATGGTTTGTTTAGGTGTCACCAAGGTGTCTAGTGGTTTGATTAGGTGTCACATGTGTCCAAATGGTTTGATTAAGTGTCACCAAGGTGTCAAAATGGTTTGATTAGGTGTCACCAAAGTGTCCAAATGGTTTGATAAGGTGTCGTCAAGGTGTCCAAATGGTTTAATTGCCACCACAGTGTCCAAATGGCTTAATTGTCACCAAGGTGTCCAAATGGTTTGATTGTCACCAAGGTGTCTAAATGGTTTGTTTAGGTGTCACCAAGGTGTCTAGTGGTTTGATTAGGTGTCACATGTGTCCAAATGGTTTGATTAGGTGTCACCAAGGTGTCAAAATGGTTTGATTAGGTGTCACCAAGGTGTCCAAATGGTTTGATTAGGTGTCACCAAAGTGTCCAAATGGTTTGATTAGGTGTCACCAAGGTGTCCAAATGGTTTGATTAGGTGTCACCAAGGTGTCCAAATGGTTTGATTAGGTGTCACCAAGGTGTCCAAATGGTTTGATTAGATGTCACCAAAGTGTCCAAATGGTTTGATTAGGTGTCACCAAGGTGTCCAAATTGTTTGATTAGGTGTCACCAAGGTGTCCAAATTGTTTGATTAGATGTCCCAAAGTGTCCAAATGGTTTGATCAGGTGTCACCAAAGTGTCCAAATGGTTTGATTAGGTGTCACCAAGGTGTCCAAATGGTTTGATTAGGTGTCACCAAAGTGTCCAAATGGTTTGATTAGGTGTCACCAAGGTGTCCAAATGGTTTGGATAGGTGTCAGCAAGGTGTCCAAATCATTTGATAAGGTGTCACCAAAGTGTCCAAATGGTTTGATTAGGTGTCACCAAGGTGTCCAAATGGTTTGGTTAGGTGTCACCAAGGTGTCCAAATGGTTTGATTAGATGTCACCAAAGTGTCCAAATGGTTTGATTAGGTGTCACCAAGGTGTCCAAATGGTTTGATTAGGTGTCACCAAGGTGTCCAAATGGTTTGATTAGATGTCACCAAAGTGTCCAAATGGTTTGATCAGGTGTCACCAAAGTGTCCAGATGGTTTGATTCGGTGGCACCAAGGTGTCCAAATGGTTTGATTAGGTGTCACCAAGGTGTCCAAATGGTTTGGTTAGGTGTTACCAAGGTGTCCAAATGGTTTGGTTAGGTGTCACCAAGGTGTCCAAATGGTTTGATTAGGTGTCACCAAAGTGTCCAAATGGTTTGATTAGGTGTCACCAAGGTGTCCAAATGGTTTGATTAGGTGTCACCAAGGTGTCCAAATGGTTTGATTAGGTGTCACCAAAGTGTCCAAATGGTTTGATTAGGTGTCACCAAGGTGTCCAAATGGTTTGATTGTCACCAAGGTGTCTAAATGGTTTGCTTAGGTGTCACCAAGGTGTCTAGTGGTTTGATTAGGTGTCACATGTGTCCAAATGGTTTGATTAAGTGTCACCAAGGTGTCTAGTGGTT